GGCATCCAGGTTAAGCAGGGACATCGTGTTCTTAAAAAATGTGGACTGTGAACAAGTAATTTATTTTTTTTTTAAATTTCCAAAATCCAAATTATGACCTTCCCTTTTATCCCCTGCATGCACATGCCATTTTTCTGCATTTTTATCCTTTTAATATTAATACATGGGAGGAATGTATTACAAACATCTTTGCCGAATTTGTCTATGCCAAACCCCGGAAACAACAAACCAGTCCAGGATGTACATTAATGTGCTAACCCGATGTTTCTTCTGACAATAGAAGGATGTGGTCTTTGTCCTTAATGTTTATTAGTAGCTTATTAATGTACAATTTCATCTTTACCAATTATATGCATTCTCCTCACTTGAAACTTTTCATAATTTTATAGTTTGTCATTTAACTGCTTAATTGTCAATGTTACTTGGTGTCAGTTGTCTCTTTTCAAGAAACAAACAGCAAATGTTATAATATGGATGTCTAGCTCCGTGGAAAACCTGATCTGGAACAAAAGCATATTTGAAAGATCTAGACAAGAATGTGAGTAATAATTCAAAAACTTCATGTATGTGAAATCTGAACTTAAATTTTCCTCTTCACTAATTATAAAGCTTACTTAAGGATTTCTATTTTAAACGCATAGGAAGACTATAGATTATAGTCAGCATGTTTCATTTTCACAGAATCACAGAATTTTCAGAGTTGGAAGGGACCTCTAGAGATTGTCCAGTCCCGCTCCCCTGCTACAGCAGGACTGCCCAGAGCACGTTCCTCAGGACTGCATCCAGGCGGGTTTGGGCACTCTCCAGAGAAGGGGACTCCCCCCCCTCCCTGGGCAGCCTGTGTCAGCGCTCTGCCACCCAAACTGTAAAGAAGTTTTTCCTTGTGTTGGAACAGAACTTTCTCTGTTCCAACTTGTGCCCATTTTTCACTCTCTAGCATAGCTTGTTTCAAGCGCGGAGTGTTAATGGGAAAGAAAATAGCAATTATTTTCTTTGAAAGTGAACAACCTTCAGAATTTAGGGTGCTTTTGGATTTTGTAAACATCTCTTTAAAAAAAAAAAAAAAAAAAGTATTTTAGGACATGACATTGAGGGGCTGGGGTGTGTCCAGAGATGGGCAACAGAGCTGGTGAGGGGTCTGGAGAACAAGGCATATGAGGAGCAGCTGAGGGAACTGGGGGCGTTCAGCCTGGAGAAAAGGACGCTGAGGGGAGACCTTATCACTCTCTACAACTACCTGAAGGGAGGTTGGAGCGAGGGGATGTTGGTCTCTTCTCCCAAGGAACAAGTGATAGCACAAGAGTAAATGGCCTCAAGTTGCACCAGGTGAGGTTTAGAATGGATATTAGGAAACCTTTCTTTACTGAAAGGGTTACCAAGCATTAGAACAGGCCGCCCAGGGAAGTGGTGGAGTCACCATCCCTAGAGGTATTTAAAAGATGATAGGTGTGGTGCTGAGGGACATGGTTTACTGGTGGACTGGGCAGTGCTAGGTTAATGGTTGGGCTGAATGTTCTTAGTCTCTTCCAACCTAAATGATTCTATGATTCTATTCTGTGATTCTATGACTGAACATTTCTGGTTACAAGGAACAGGTTATTTATTGAAATCCTTAATACTCAGAGAAGGTTATTGGTGTGATCTGTACAGGGAAGATGCATCTCAGAGGAGGTTTTCAGGGCTTCATAGTGAAAATGGAAGGGAATACTCTTCATTTCTAAATTGATGTCTAGGTTATTGAAAGCTATTTAAAAAAAAAAAAAAAAGGTGACTTACTGGCAGTTTTAAATTAGTAATTAGGTCCATATTTACCAATGCTTACATCAGAGGAGTCTCCTAGCGTTCCCCAGACAACCCCATGTCTGAAAAGCTTGTTGAGTGGCTTGCTAAGCCTGCTAGAAAATAATTAGTGAAAGGATTGGTTTAGTCTTGATTCTTTTCTTGGGTTTTTTATTTCTTGGTTTGAGGCGGGGATTGGGGATCTGAAGTCACATTAAGCATGTTGAGAAGCGTTCTGCAATGTTAGCTGATAAAATGTATGTGTGTAAGTTAAGTCAAGAAAAGTCAAGGCATCGGTGTTAAAATAAACCAGCTGTACAGGTTACTGCAATAAATAAAATCGTCTTCTGATCTGCTCATGGCAATTCCTGTCAAATTATTTTCTACAATAAAGGATTTTTCTTGGCAGTTAGCGCAAGTCAGTCAGAGTTAGAACAGTGAATGAGATGGCACAGGCTCAGTGTCCAGAAAAAGCTTCATCTTTTCAAGGATGAATTTTAGCCAGGATCACTCGGTGCATTTGTACCTTACCAAAGAAGCTTCTGCTGCCTGTCTATCCTTACCTGATCTAGAAGGCAGAGAACAAAACCAGCTGTTGATAAAAAGAAGTGGTACTCGCGCAAGGTTATTCTGTCCCATTCGGGCTGGAAGTGGAATGCTTTTATTCTTTTGTGATGATTTTACATAACATTCATTATGTATTTTGCTTCTTTTGTGGTCTTTCAGAAACAGTGCTAATCTTTACCTTGAATATAGCGCAGCTGATACTTAAAAGAATACAGTACCAGCATTTGTACCTTTAGAAACATGTAATTTAATTGCCTTAAGTTTATTCCTTTTCCAGAAGCCGATAATATAGGTAAGGTTAATTTTGTGTTTTCACAGTTGATGTGTGAGATGCGCTTTTGTGGAACAACTGGTAATCGGAGCCTTTTTTATATACCTTGCTCTGTCAATATTAAAGGGGCCCTACAGTAAAATGAAAAACAAACAGCAAATCAGCTCCACTGAGCCACGTGGGCAGTTTGGGCCAAAGTGCCTCAGGACCATTAGCTGGTTGCTGTAAGAAATGAGAAGAATTTTACAAACTAAAGGATAATATCTATGCAGGATCAAATGGATGTAAATTAGTCAGGAATAAGTTTATACAAGAAATTAGAAGAGGTTTCTAAACATCGGGAATAAATGGCCTTTCAGGGAAAACAGATAAACGGGGACAAAGAAACTGGATGCCTTTGGTAAGTTTGTGGAAGGAGTGGATTAACGAAAACAGCAATGGTTCTGGAAATCTATGCCATTCTGAATGGCCAGTATGATCCTTTGAATCCAAAGGAAGTTGAAAGGAGAAAAGATATCTGTGCTTTTGGGGTTTCTTGCATCTTGCACGTTAATTTTGTGCCACATTTCAACTGTTTTGTTTGTGTTCAGGAAGAAATCATATTTAATCTCCTTAGTAAGTGTTTGTGTTTTGGAGCTTTTTTCCACCATGAGATTAGCTACGTCTCAAAAAGGGTACACGTGTACTTTGGGTGATACCAACATACCTCTGCTTTCTGGCTGCTGTCAGACCTGCGTCTAGAGAAACACAGATGTCACAGCAAATTCACAATCAGAAAACTTTCATACAAATGAATTGTTAGGGAATATTCGGGGTTCATTTTGCTGTTCTCCTTCTCCAAAAGCTTGGTAAATTACCTGCTGCCTGGGATAGTCTGAATTTTATGTAATGAATGTGCTGCTTGTAGGTATTGAAGAGACCTTTGATCTCATAGCTCTCTTCAGTGATGTGCCATAGGTATGTCTGCTGGCCTTTAAGTTTCAAATATAGGGGATTTTAAGAAGCAATTTCTGCCTTACGTAAGTGAGAAACATTGGTGGTGTGTGTTAAAGGTACTTGTTTGTGTTACTGTCTGTTGTGGGGCTGCTTGCACTTCCCTCGGTGGGCTTTTCTAGTCCTGCGTACCTAAATTGTATTTAGCTACCGTGTTTCCAGTTATTTTTTCCATTGTCTTTGATTTAGGAACTCAGCTTTTGGGGGCATTCTGTTCAGGGATCTGTTTTCCCAGGTAACTACTTCTGTCCTCTTCAGCAGTGGGGTAGATGCTGGCTTTTGGTTCCTTTTTGCTCCTAGAGAAGGCTTCAGATATTGCCTGGCTTTAGGAGAGACCTTTTCACACTAGGCAGAGTAGTGTGTTACTAAATTGAGCGTATTTCTGTCTTAGCTCACTGAATCTAGAAAAGTGACTGTAAGTTGCATATACAGAGAGAATTGTATCTCAGTGTCCAAGTCATCTTACCTATTACAGTTTTGCTCAGACTTGTATGTAGAGTGGGAACCCTTAGTTAAACGGTTTTCATCTTAAGCTTATAAACCATGTGAATCTTAAAGTGATTATCTTCTGTACTGATGCGAGATAGGAATCTGGTTGCTATCTGGGCTTTTTGTATGACTCGCATTTAGACTGAAAGTGTTCGGTGACCTCTGCTGTGATTCAGGTGCTACTGTTGTAATTTAAAATATGGTCAAAGGGGCTCATAGGTATCTTGATACTGTGTAAAGAATCCAGATTGACTGAGACCCAGGGTACACATTTGGCAAGATTTTACATATTTGGCAAGTTTTAGGCTTGAAGTGATCCTGTTTAGCTACAATTCAGCTGCCTTCCTGCACATCAAACTTTTATGGGCTTTCTTTATGTTAGTATATGATAATATCTCACTGTTCGAAACTCAGATTACCCTCGGCCCCTGTGCTTGTGCTTGATGATGGAATTATTTTGCAACCGTGACCCAACAGAAATTGCTGCCAAAGAAAACAACCAGCACGATAGCGGTAATCATGTCCCTAGGTGTTAGGGAAGATGCATGAGGTTCCCTTTCCCATGGATGTCAAACTGCAGATTTGTTTCCTTTAATTGAAATTTGGCATCTTCCTGGTATCCTGAAAGACCTCATCCTGAATATCAGTATTATGACACTACATTTTTAGGAAAAACAGTGTGGTATTTTTCTACCATAATAGCAAGTAAAACCTGTGTAGGAACACACAGTGTGAAAAGGTTCTTATGAATAAAGTGTTCATTTTACTCTTTTGTTCAGTCTTCATCTTTCTATTAAGGACTTCATCTTCTTTATATAGCAGGATTCAGATATTTTTTTTTTTAACCGGACTTAAAGGTTCCCTTCTGTCAATTTTCCTCTAAAAATAATTCTTTTTCCAGGTTGCTGTATTTACTTCAGCAAGAATCCTCCAGCACAGAACTGAGAACAGAATGCGCAGTGGTCCTGGGAAGCCTTGCAATGGGTACTGAGAATAATGTCAAATCCCTTCTAGACTGCCATATTATCCCAGCCTTATTGCAAGGTACTTTTCTGTTAATGGATCTATGTTACTAAATGTTCCTAAAGTATTCAAATAAGCAAAGATAATGAAACTGAATAGTAGTTTTTGTCTATATTTATTTGTAGGATTACTTTCACCAGATTTGAAGTTTATTGAAGCTTGCCTGCGATGTCTCCGTACCATTTTCATCAGTCCTGTAACTCCAGAGGATCTACTATACACAGTGAGTTGCATGCAGGTTATGATGTCCTTTTAAAGCCTGTGGAGTTGGTTGGAGTGGAAGGTCTTGTTGCCTGCGGTACTAATGACGGCTTGTTTGACCAACAATGTTAACGTTCCTCACCTACGTTTAAGGCATCTGGCTCACCTAACATAATAACAGTATTTGCTATGAGATGGTCGACAAGGTAGCACGCTGATAAAGAAAAACACTAAAATTTTCAGGCTCGTGTGCAATCTTAAGGAGTAAAAACTGTCTCTAAATGGTATTTACGGATACCATTATCACAGCTATTTTGGCAAAGTTTCTGAACATAAGATTTTATCCAACACTGTCGTCCCACACCAGATATGAGGGTTCTTGCTTAGTTTTTGCACTTCACGTGGAAGAGTTTAACCTCCAAAATTTCTCTGCTTTTAGTTAATATACGTGTGGTTTACATTTAACTGACAGGAAGATAGAAAATGTCCCCCACCATTGCTATAATCTTGATTTCAGCTTGGCTCATGCAAGCAATGAGGCTCTGGGTGCTGACCTTGGTAAGGTGACTGGGCAAAGCCATTGATGTGGAGCCCTGTTTGAAGGCAGTGCTGTCTCTGGCAGCATAGGCAAAAAAGGCCTTGCCCAAAATCAGTCACTGTCTCTTACTTGGAAGGAAGGGAAAGAAGGACTTGCACTCTTCCCTCTTGCTTTGTCTCAGTGCAAGGGATGAAGCAGGCTGTGGCCTGGAAACCATACTGTACAAGCAATCTCTTTCTGCTGGGAAGAGGGTAGCATTGAAGCAGTCTGCTGGCTGGAGGTCACGGAGCAGATCCAACTTCTGAGGGTAACTGGGAGTCCACAGTGCTAACTACTCTGGTCCCACCACTCAAACCTCTCTGTTGCTTGCTGAGGAAGACTTGATGCTTATAGAGAAGGGTACGGCTGGCCTCTGATTTCATACTTTCTCTATGGTTCGGGGTCTCTGCTGATACCAGAGACAATTTCTGTGTGTTACTGGTCCTCAACAGATTTTCTTCATGATTTTTTTTTTTATCTAGTTGTTACGCAGTGCTGTAATGTATGTTTTGTTCTCTCTTCCTTTTCTAATCATTCCTTACAGTTTCATTCCAGGGTGGCAATAGGTATGTAAACTTGTTTTCCATGGCCTCAGTTTTAAAGTACACGCATTCTGAATTTCATCTTCTAATGAGTCCACCTCATGAAATTGTTCTGCAGCTCTTCACAGCTTACCCTTGTATTTAGTACGTGTAGATAATCAGCCAGCTCTGTCCTCCGCTGTTCACTGCCTTTTTTTCTAGTTGATTTTTTGATTGTTCAGCAAGTAAACCCTCAAGTCAGATTGTACGTGGGACTGCTGAAGGCACCTCTCCTGAGTGATCTGAGAGTTTCCTCTTTGTGTCTCTCTTCCTTCCTTTGACTCCACTTCATGCTCCCAGGTTCCCCCAAGTCGGCCTCTAAGAGTTCATAACTGCAGGGGCATCTGCTTCCTGCTCTCAGCATCCAACCAGGGCTTAGGATGATCATCTCCATTAACAGTCCATACTTCTTCCTGGGGATCAGTGCTCAAGAGAGACTATTAATTGCTCCCTCTTTGGAGGAGAGATTTGATATCTTGAAGGGAGAGGAAGTGGAAGAGTGTGTACAGAAATGTGAAAGAACCAGCATTAGCATATAAATTACCACTAACGTTGTGGGAACAATATGCCTAAGATACTGGATTTTCTCTTTCATCCTTTGCTTTCTCTGCTGCACAACACTGACATCAGAACTCTGCTACCTCATTCCTTATTCAGGCAAATGTGATGTCCCTTAATTAACCATAGCTACAGAACGTGATCATCTGGTGATGGTGCTCTTGTTCTTTAGTTTCAGCTGCAAAACCCATTTTCCAATCTTCCATTCCAGTTGGGTACCTGAAAGTTAAATATTTTATGACTGTACTTAAGGTCCTCTTTCTGCAAAGGAGCTTCTTTTTTTTGCTTGTCTTGTGGGAATACCCAAACCCATGCTTTGAAAAGTAATGAATGCAGATCCTGTGAAAAGAGACATTTTTCCTATTTGTTGGAAGGTATAGCCACAGCCCCCACTGCTGCAAGCTGTGTTTCACCAGGCAGCAGTTGAGAAGTTGTCTTTGCAATTAAAGAAGTAATTCTGGGCCTAATCAACACTACGTCAGACACTCCACTTTTCTGACATTGAGAATAACAGGAAGAAATTGGAGTTCTCATTTAGCCACCCTGCTTCCTCTTTGTTTCTGATCACAGCAGCTCCAGGGAGACCATCACCATTTCCGTATAGGTTCAGATCTTGAAGGAATGTAAGGGCTTATTCAGCAGCCTCTCGAGTTCTGCCTTTACCAGGTCCTAACTTGAAAGGAGAGAGACGAAGTTTTTCAGTGACTTTTCATTCTTGCCCAGCAGCTCTGGAGAAGACTTCTGAAAAGCTGGTTCCTGAGTTGTATCTAAGATGGAAACTTTTCCCAGAATTTCTTTACGGTTTGACTGCATGGAGAAATGCTGTCTCTCAAACCTTGGCCAGGACTATTTCCAAGACAAGATATTATGACTTAGTTCAATGCCTCTAAGGATGTTCCACTCACTCTAGAGGTTTCAGAGGACCTCTCAGTTAAGGTACAGGATACACAAGTGCTTTAGAGAGAACAGCTTAAAATATTTCTTTCTATTTGTAATAGGTTTGGGAGAGAATAAACATAAAATCTCATTTAAAAAACCAAAACCACGTCATCGACAGTAACCTGGATATTTCTCCCAGTAGAAATGCTGGGTGTCAGAAACTATATCTTTCTTCTTGAATCTTTTCCTATAAACAAGAGCTTGAAAGATAAACCGCTGGCAGTTTTCAGCAGTTACGCTCAGTTCCAAAGACAAAATAGTTCTTCAGAGGTGGAAACATTTGGGCTGTTCCCTTTAGGAACTTAGGACCTGTGCTGGGAAAAGGTGAAGACCCATCAATGCGTGTGTTGAGCTGAATGAACAGTGAGCTCTCAAAAAGGCCAGGCTTTTAGTGTCTGATACCGAGATCTTACAGCAAGCTTGCTGCAGAACAGTAAGTTGTATGCAGACGTGCTGTGCCAGGTAAACGCATCTTGCGGAGTCTTCCTTCACTGGAAGGGGGCAGGCTTTGGTGCCGAGACCATCCTGTGAATGGAAATGAGGAATGACATGGAGACCCAGGGTGAGACATCTGTTGAGATGCAGACATGTGTGCAGACTATTCTTTTTTTTTTGTTTTTTATTAAATTGTAAGGTTATATTTGGAAGCATTTTGTACATCTGAACTAGACAGCTCAACATAGCTAGGTGTGTTTTGGCTTGCTGAATAGATTCAAGCACCAGGTCAAATCCAGTTTGACTCAGAGCCTGTTGCTTCAGCTCTTGCTGTTCTATTTAAAACAAAACGAATGGATTCAGTGGCAAAACCCTTTCCAGCCTGTGAAGGTGTTCTGAACGTTTCCTTACAGATGTTCTCAGCAGTGATCCCATTTTCCTTCCTCAGTGGGGCCCAGATACAATTTTATTCAGAAAGTGCTAGATGTGGCTACTATGCTGGCTTTGAAGGAAGAGGCAGGTAGCAGCTATGTCCTCTGCTGTGAAGGAGTCTGTCCTTACAGGAAGCTTGGAGAACTAAGGTACTGCACAGGATGACTTTCTCCCTACTGTTGAGGCAATGAGGAATGAAAACTCAGAAAACTCACCTTTTCCAGCTTACGTGAGCTGGTAACGTTAAGCGAAAGGCATTCCTCCTTACTGTTCAGATTTGAGATGGAAAACCTAATGTCACCTGGTGATCGACCAGGCTCGAGGAAGGGGAGGTAGAACAATTCAGAGGACAAGGCTAGCAGGACAGAGCAGGATATGTTACACTGATTAACAACCGGGTATTCAACGAGTCATGAAATCACACTGCAAATTGTACGCGTGTTCCACCGTGGCTCAGTGATACGTAGCTACTAAAGGAGGAAACTAGGTCATCTTCTAATGCTTTACTCCTTTCATGCCTCCTGTTTGTGATGGCTGAGCCCATGCAGCAGGGCTAAATGTTCTCTAATCTGAACCGTTTCCTATAAATGAGAATTGTAAAACGATGAATTCTATCTTAGAGAGCTTGAATTTAAGTTATTTGGATGAATATAAGAATTTCGGTTCTCTGACTTGGGGGAAAAAAACCCATCCTCTGTTAAAAAGAAATGTTTTAAGAATAGATCTTGCAAATTTTGTTTTAATGTTAAAAAGGAATATGAAGAAAGTAGGTAGGTATTGGGATCCAAGCAGGTAAATGCAACTCTGTTAATTCTCTCTTTACTGGCCATCCAAAAAGAATTCAGAATTTTGTTACAATCCATGTGATGTATAGATACTTGTTGTAAATTGTCTGGAACAGACAACATTTTAATGGATTTGTGAATCTCATTGTTTTAACTGCAAATTATGAGTGTAGACTCAATGTCGCTTACTAGGGTTGCTAGAAAGATCCTTTCATACCTTTCATGAATATGAAAAAAAGTGAAATCATGTGTCCTCATATTGACGCATAATTACGATTCGCATTTAGTTGGAAGTCAGTAATATCCACACATCTCTTTAATCTTTCTAGATTCTTTTCTGATAAACATACCAAAATTATTATAGAAGTTGGGATCTATTTTAGCAGAATCAAGGGGCAAAATAAACATAATTTTCTCGCAAGCATTAAGGAAGCACTCTTGCAACTTCCCCAAGAGTATGTAACCTTGGGCTTACAACATTTCTGATTTGGTGTAATAAACTGAGAAAGTGTACAAAAGATATCTCCAAAGAATCGCTTCTCAAACGTATCCTTTTATAGTCCAGAATATCTAATAATACAGGGAACCCTTACTCTGTTGATTGCGAGGGTTCATTAACCCTTATATCATATATACCACATCATCGCCGGGGTCGCAGTGACACCAGAAATGCCCTGTCAGAATGTTTGGTATCGGAACAGCCCAGTCCACAAACGCACAATTAAAATGCTTTCCATCATCCAATATGAACACTTTCCTATCCAGACGCTTACCATTGGGCCGTGATGCCACACTGGTCAGTAAAATGTTATCTTATGCAAATCAACTGTGTGCCATTCTATTCCCAGTTCTATAACTCTATGGTAGAGCTTCCCAACAGTTAGAGGCTTGATTTCTGTCCGCTTACATCTTTACCAAAACTCTCCAATCTATCAAACTGCAGCCAAAAATATTTATACGATCAACGCTGTTGAAGTTCCAGGTGAAACTGAACTTTGCGTGGGGATGTCACTGGCTAGGACGTGAAATCAAAGTTTGTTCGTTTCCCTCGTGTTAGATACAGATAGAGAGATGTTATGCGTTCATTTGTGTTGAATAAAAGGGTTTAATGAAATAATTATTTTGTTCAAAGATGAAAGTGATATATTTTTATTCATAATTTGGGAGATAAAACAAGGATATGGGATGATGTGTGCTAGTAGAATCTGTGAAAGGTAGCATCAGAAATCTTCGCTTCTTAGCTTCTAGTTAATGAAGAATAATCTAAATGTTATTCTTGTGTATTTTCACTGAAGTCTGATTTTTCAGAAGCAATTCCACCACTTCAAATTTAAAAATAAAACAAAATGCAAAACCTTTTTACCAGCTTGAGGGAAGGAGGGAAAGCCTATAAAGGACCACTTCAGAGTTGGCAGCATTATTCAGTGTCCAGATGCACATTGGTCATGCGATAAATGTGACAGATCATGTGAGTGAATTGTAATCATTGCCTGACAAAAATGCAGGTCTGTACCTGCCAGTATCTCTCTGTAGACCAGACAGCTGCGCAGAGCGGTCTGTGAGAGTTACCCGATTGATGCCAGGGTCAAATCTGGTTGCGAGCTAGTCACCTGTGATTTAGCAAATAAATTAGTCGCTAGTCTCCTGGCTTTCTTTTTCTCCCCAAGAACCAGAATGGATGCTGACATCTATAAATTCTTATCTACAATTTCCTGGTTAGACTGAGAGAAAACGAAATTTAAGGTAAGGACAAATACAGTTATAAAGCAATATATAATGGTAGGTGCTTATACGTTAGAACGCAGCCTATTTAGGGGAAGAGACCAAAACAGGACAAGCATGTTTTCTTCCCTATGCTTTCCCCAGTCTAGGTTTTTTGCCTGCTGACATCCCCAAAGTTTGCAACGTTCTATGGTTTTCTAGATCACGTCGATAGAAAACCATATGTTAGGACATACCTAACATTAGGGAACACTGTGTCTATGCTGCTTTAATCGTGGCAGTTTGAATCCTTTGCAGCTCGTTGGGATCTCCTCTGGCTAAAGATTACTGAGCTGGTGCAGATTTGTTTGCTCAGCACACTCTGCGTAAATTTCTTTAGTTGTGAATCCTTGTGCCTCTTCTCTTTGGCAAGCGCGCTATCTCTCTCGATTTCGTTAGACTTTAACTTTTAGGCCAATGTTTACATCTTTCTGATTGCAATTTTTGAAATGAGCCAGATGACATAGTCGGTGATTTCCCTGCAGATGATGTCAGGTCTTGCATCTTACATTTTGAAGCTTCTTTTTTTAATCTTTACTGCCTCTGAATCCTGAGGTGTCCATGCTTTTCTCTCCATGCTACCCTCCGGACTTCTTGATTCTTTTGTCTAAGGAGCGCTTTATCACTGCTGAGCCTCCTAGCGTGTATGTATATATATGTTGTGTTGAACACTAATGTGGCTTGGTAACTTCAGCTGCAGAAAATGACAAGAATCTGTTTGAACCGGTCAAATGTGTTAAACTACAGAGGAATCCTGGGTATATTGTCAGTTTGTTTTGATTTAACTCAAAGAAGGAGATGCTTAGAAGTTTTGGGGACCTGCTATGACTTTGTAAGACTGTACCACGTTTTTCATGAGAACAAGGTTGGCCTGTTAGCTCCTTCTGTTTGGTTTCTCATGGAATTTTGCTGCTCTGCTTGGCTCGTGCCCAAAACCCACTTAGTTTACACACCACTGCAGGCTTCCCTCTGTCAGGGAGAGTCGAGGGAACACTTTGTTATGGTTATGACCATCAGCGCTATTACAACATACTTGGGGATTTAATGTCCGCTGTTGCCCTGCAAACCAAACCAGTTCCTTGCAGGCCCTTGGGTTCTGAAGTTGCAAAGAAATAGATGTGTGTGTTTAGATGCCGTGTGTAAAGGCAGAACATCAGATGGAGCTACTGTTGACCAAACCCTAAGAACACTGCTTAGAATACTCTGTCCCTTGCTTTTCCTGTGCACACAAGCATGCAATATATGGCCGGTGTACCTAGGAGAACTCCAGTTTCTAGTAAGTAACTTGCTCTCTACAGGATGCTGGAATGGCAAATGAGACTGTTGCACATTGATCCTCTCCAGTTATTGAGAAACAAGCAGTAGAAACAGATGTTGTTTTTATTCTCAGTGTGTCTTTTGGCTCTGTTGTCCTATTGTTTTCCGTGGAGAACAAGAAGGCTACATTGTTGGCAGCAAAGCTTTCTGAAATAAGTCTGCTAAATTATATATATGTATTTTATAGATATAAAAATATTAAAAATAGCAAAAATAAATGTTGCAAAGCTTTGCCTAATCTCAAATATGTATACAAATAAGAGAAACATATATATGTTTATTTTGCTAATATAAAGAAGTGATTGGAAATTTCCCAATTGGGAAATAAAGCTTTTCATAAATGGCTGTGTATCTCTGAAGCTGTAGTCATTAAAACAAAGGAGCTCGTGCTACTTTCATTACTGTAAAAGTAGCTGAGAAGCATGAAGGTTTTGCTCTAGTTTTAATCCACCTCTCCCTAGTCAGAGGGTCGAGATTCATCATTCTGCTGCAGGTGAAACAAAGAGTCTGACTTACTTGCGTAGGGCCAATACAGCATAAGTTCTTTGGAAAAGAAGACTCATTCAGTCTTTCGTCTCCCCTGTTCAACACCCTTTATCTCATGGAAGTCATTTAGTTTACCACGTTTCCAAACTGAAATGACCAGTGTTTCTTTTAACATCACTGCAGTTGCTGCCACCAAAATGTACTGGTAAAAGTAACGGAAAGCTTTAAAATATTGTAATTTTGTAACTTACCACAGAGCTTAAGTAACTGGATGCATTTTCAGAACGGAACTTGAGTATAATGATTTTCTTTTGCTGATTCATTTGGAATTCTCTGTCATCATGCATACTAATAGATCCATAGTGTGTGTTTGACTCAAAGACAAAGGAAATTATTACCCCCCATTAATCAGTTAGAAGGTGAGTTCCACAGAATTCAAGGTGGACTGTACATAGTTCAGTCTAGCACTTTGTTCCCCTCCCTGCTCGTTTCTAGCCGGCGCTGAAATGAAGAGGTAAGTAAATCACACTTGTAGTAAGAAAATATGAAGACAACTCGTGGAGTAATTGCTTTCAGTGACCATGTTTGCAGTCAGTATGGGCTGGGGGTTTTTTTCCCCATTCCTTGATTGTTTTCTCACAAAGGAAAGATTCTGGAGATAAATCCCAGAAGTTTCATACCTAACTTGCACTGACCTTTTATTTTTTCTGTGAGGATTTGTCTTAGAACTGTCACTCATGCCTTGAAGCCTGCCCTCTACTACTTTAATAGTCTTGTCCAGACACGTTTCAGTGGAAAGGAGATCACTGAATGCAGAATCAGGAGTACTCTTTTAAGTAACAAACTGTGAACAAGCTATGCTGAAATACAGTGTTAATACTTTTTTCTTTTCTGACTTGTTTCCAGGATGCTACAGTTATCTCCCACCTCATGGCACTGCTCAGTAGGTCTCGATATACACAAGAATACATATGTCAGATCTTCTCACATTGCTGCAAAGTAAGAAAGAAAATACATCTTCTTTGTGCAACTTATTGTCTTTCTGGCATATAAGAAACTGTAAGATGATACTGCCTGTTGTGGCAGGAACACTAGAACAGTAATGGCTGAACTGTTATTGCTCTGGATTTGCTGACGGATTTATTGGGGTTGATACATGTTTCTCTACAGTAAAACAAAACATGCAAATAAGTGCACTTTTTTTATAGGCTGTGTATCTATATTTATACCTCTTGGCTACTAAACAAAGTCAACGGTCTAGGCAAATACCAATCTTCACTACTATCAGTATAAATTTTGGAAGGCTTATTTTTTTGCCCTGGTAGTCTCAAGACAGTGTGAGCATCTCTTTGCAGAGGTCTTGCACGTGCTTTCAAGACAGCTGTTTCAAACTCAGAGAATGTTTTCGAAGAGGTACTGTAGGTTGAGAGGGAAGAAAAATGCTCTTCTCAGTTGAGCACTACCAGTTACAGGTTTATCCAGATGCGTGTTGATTCCTGCTATATAATGCAGTTCTCTAAATATGGGAAAACTAATTTCAAAACAGCAGCAACCCCACCCCAAACACAGAGGTTTTTGTCTTTCCATCCCCCAAGTTTCCACACACTGTTTTTTATGTTATTGTTGTGGTTTTTTTGATAGTTACTATACCCATGGGTTATACAGTAACTTTATCAAAATAAGTCAGTGTAGGAAATCGGATTTGCGCAGGATCTTTCCCTTTTCGAAGTAGTTTAAAACTAAAAGTTCATAGATGGTGTTTATCTCCCAGACTTAACAAATGAAAATGTTCCAAAATTTATGAATTTCTAAGTATTTGCCTCAGAAGAATATCTTTCTACCTTATCGCTTACAATAGGTCTTCTGGAACACCGAAATATTTCTTTGTTAAAAATGTGTTTTTCTCTACCTTAACTGTTATTTATGTACATTCATCCAATTGCATTTCTTGTGTTAAGTGAAACTGAGGACTGAAAACTGTACAGTTAGTGTGATATAAAAATATAACTCAGCTGCTAACATTTACAGAATTGTTTAAAGAAAACATCAAGACAAAATCCTACACTGGAACGTGGAAGTTCAGATCCATAGCTAGTATTGGAAAAAGAATTTGGCATTTTAAGAAGAAAAATGCACAAGTGAGGCATCTCATGCTTAAGTGGCCCATGAGAGCTCCCTTAATAGGCTGAGTAGCTTGAAGAGGTGAAAAATTGGGCCACGTTGGCTTACAGGAAAAATAACATGGGACTGATTATAGGGTGGTGTAGAAGTCAGTTTATACAGTCAGGGGTTAGCTCTGTAGCGACACAAACCCTGTGGGCTGTGTGAGAACTGCTGAGGAACTTCAGGTAATCAATCCAATATGAAAACACTTACTGTCATCTTTTTCTAAATGAGTTACTTCCTTGTAGCTCCATTAACTCCTGGTAACTTACATATCAAATATATTGTTGACAAAGCAAGTGCCCAGTCACTTAACGAGAGCAGACTAAGGAAGGTCTTACGAACTCACTGTACTGTTTTCAGTGCCTCCTCCACCCCCCAAATCTCTCTCAAACAAATTTTACAGTGAATGTTTTGAAAAATCCAAGTTTTTGGAAAGAAAAAAGTTGATTGCGTGAACAGATAAACATGAATGTACAAGAAAAGCAGGGTGATGGGTATGAGAATTAGGAAATAGTTGCATTTACAGAATAAACATTAGATGCATAACGAAGAAAAATACTTGAGGTTGAGTAAACAGAGCATCACAAACGTTTAATTGATTGGGAACTCATTTCTGTCCTGCCCAGGCAAATGCAGCTGTTCAGCAAAAATCTAAAATGCCCCCGCCTTTCTTTTTTAGTTTAGTTCTTGGGTTTCAGGTCTGATTAAGGTCAATTACTGTATTTTCAGCAAAAAAATATAGCAGAATTTGCAGGGGATTTTCTGATTTATATGGATAGGCAAAGTAAATTTGTATAATTAAAAAAAAAACTGAAATTTTCAGTATTCTCCACATTTTTAATGAAGACTCCATCTTTCCCCCCAAAGACCATGAGTGAGAGAACCTTTCTAATTTTTTCATGAAGAAATAAGTTACCTTAAGCTTTTGTATTTGGGTAAGGCTTAGCATATACTACAAGAGGTATTGATGCTTTTATTTCTCTTTTTCCTCATCTCAGTAGATTTATTCATTAAACTAATAGTGACGTATCGTTGCTCCTACCCTCCTGCATACTGTTCTCTGCTTAGACCTTGTGCATCCATTTTTTTTCCTCTTCCTTGCCAGAGTCTTGTTTGGTTGGGTCTCTCAGGTTTCTTTCTTTCTTGCCTGCTCAAATTTCCCTGGAAAAGCTCAGACCTGTTCTCTTGAGCCAGGAAATCCTTAATTCAGGTTCCTAGCACATTGCTGCTGCTTTCTGCTTTTACTGCCTGCTTTTACTGCTTCTCACTGCATTTTTAGAGTTAAAATTAACCAATGGAAAACATTGACCCTGGAGAAGAGCCATCCTAAGCAAGGGAAAGTGTTGATTTACAGGGGGAGCAGATGCAGTTATTAACATACGGAGCCAGAATTCTATCAACATATAGCCAAATAAATAAACTAAAATCAGGTTGATGTACACGGTAGGCAAATAAGTAAACTAAAATCAGGTTGATGTACATGGTATGCTAAAATGCAAGTCAAAATTTACTTTTTAAGATTCTCTCTATCGCAGTTGATTTGTTTCCAGAGAAAGTGATGTGAATAGGTAAGCTTTACTATTCTTAATGGTCAAATTGAAAATATAAGGCGTTTGGAAACACGTGGTTATATGAATAATTTGAAAAGATAGTTCTGGAACTTATGTTTGAATGTGGTGACATCTCTGTATAAGTAATAATATCACCACCAGTTGAAAATTAAAATCCTCTGTCTGGGAAAGATCCAGGATAAAGCCTGTAATCAAGGCAGCTTCCTCCCCAGCCCATTCTGAGAATGTTTTCTTATGTGATCTTAGGCCTGGTGTGGGATCCCTGAACCAAGGTACATCAGCATTTAGATATCTGCTTTGAACATTTCATTATGGAATGAATTCTTACATTGTTCTCTCCTACTGCTTTCTTGAAAATTGACATTTTTGGATGGAAAATCGGGCCACAAGTGTGATTTCTATTCCTGAAATATTACGTCGTTCGATCATATTTGGAGAAAAAGATCACTGTAATAGGACGGCCTCCTGGAACTCTGTCGCTGTACCCAAAGAGAAACAAAAGCAGAAGGCTTCGCTATTAAATTGGTGCCTGAGCTGCTGGGAAATTATACATTATATTCTCAGGTTTTCACATTTGTATTTGAAACTGTCCCTGTTTATGGGTTAGTGCTTAACCTGATTGTGCATTGAACAGGCTGGTTTGGTGTGTGCAAACACAATGTGTACAGATTAGATATTTTCATGTACGTTACGCAACTAAGAATACACCCAGGTGTCACCTCTGTACATGCATTTGTCCTGTTTGCACAGAATTTACCATCTGCGTCTCATTGAAAAATCACCAATACTTGTGAATTACTGAAACTATCTAGGTCAATATGATTTCTTTTACTTTAATTTCATTCATTTTTTTCACATATTTTAATATCTGTTCTTCAGCTTCAACACTGGCATAGCTGCGGCTTTAAATCATTGCCTCAGCCACTTCTGTGTGCCAATGTAAGTTGTTTTCCTCCTTCAACCATGCTGTTTTAATTGCATTTTTTTGGTAGAAAGCTCTTGGTGGCAGTAGCAGCTGAAGCATCTCTTAAAGCACCAGATATGTTGCATCTAAAAATAATTTTATGCTTTTTTTCTTAGAGTTAAGGGATGTTCTAAAAATGTTATTTTGAATATAAGAGGAATCTGATTACAGCTGTATCTCAAATGTGAAAATAACGTGTCGCTCACGCGTACCAGGGTGTATAGATGTGCCCATGAACTCAGCTGGGTTTGCACAAAAGATTAAGGAGTGAAGATACTTTCTTCACTTGCAGATTAGTCAAGAAGATGCACCGAGGTATGATAAATGGTGTGACATTGTAAAAGCTGAGTTTAAATTGTGCGTAGCCCGTGCTTAACGCAGAGATGACTAGAGTCATGAATCTGCTTGTAAAGAGATGTTTGTAAGTCACGGATCAGATTTCACAAGAGACTGTTGAGGGTTGCAGGCCCCATCGAGATTTCACGTTGTCTTTTGCAACCTCATCAAGCCTCGTCATACTACAGGAGTTCTGAGAACTTTCTACTGCAAAATTCAGTATTTGTGTTTAGTTCCAAATGCTTTTTAAATCTTGGGAAAACATTGATGTGTCAGCCATTGCCGACTTAGATCTTGAAGTGAATAAATGGGTGACGGCTGACTAGATTTATGGCTAAATATGGTTGAAACTAAAAGAAACTGTAGCAGGAAAATGTGATTTTGTTCTCAAAGCACTGTCACATTCTGTCAGGAAACAGTTTCAGAATTAATTCCCTCTCTTCTGAAGTTAGAACTGTTGAAAATGCTTAGTATTACCAGTGAAGAAGACATTAGTAAGTGGGGACCTTTTCTATGATTTGTAGAGAAAATCAGGAGCTTTTGATTGTTTCCAGTATGAAGAATAGAAACATAAGTACTCTATCCGTGTTTCTTCATTTGTGAAAACTAATTTCATTGCCTATTGAAGAAAAGAGTGGAAATGATTACCGGAGAAGGACAAATGCTATAAAAATAAGAGTCGCACTTGTTTATTTAAAAAAAAAAAAAAAGTTGGTATACCAGCTGATTACAAAGTAGACGTTAGCAAATCTACCTTTAATACTTAACAATAAGTTGCAGATAGTGGAAACCTCTTACGTATTCTTTTAAAAAAAATAAATTGTGTTTTTTGTTTTCCTTCGAAGGGTCCAGATCACCAGACAATCTTATTTAACCATGGAGCTGTTCAGAATATCGCACATCTGTTAGTCTCCACCTCCTATAAAGTAAGACATTAAAATTATTCCGTGTTTTACATGTATTTATGAAAGGAATCCAAAACTATGTATATGCATATGAACTAAAACTATGAACAGGTATAACGTGTATTTCTACAATAACAGTGGATTTTACTTGTCCTATGGATTTCTATGAAAATGAGACCTATTGTTTTGGAGTGCTCTGTAAAGTTAAAACACCGTTAATCAGTTAATTGTGCGTGTCTATTTTGATCTCCTGCCTAATGCGGAACATTCTCAAGAAAGTATCTTTCAGTAGGAAAACCAGTCTTTAAATGGGAATTTCTAGTGAAGGGAAATTTGGTGCTCTGTTTCTGGGGCTTGTTAATCTCACGTGTGGTGCTTTTTGTTTGGTTTCGGGTTTTTTATAAACCTGGTAGGAAGTATGCTGTCTTCAGTGTTTTGTTATTGAGGCTGATAAACTTCTGTTTTCTGTCTTTCTGTGCTAATTAGTTTTCACCATGATCAGGCAACGTTTTGTTCTTTCTCCCATTAGCTGACCTTTTTTACCCTGTACCGTAAGGTGAATTTTCCAAGCTATGTTTGGCTCGGAACCTTTTCTAATGGCTTTGAACCTTCCCTAATTTTTTCAAAGGGCTGCTTTAAAATAAAGAAGTTAAAGACAGAGAAAGTTTTCAGGTTTCTTTGTCAGCAACAAGATACATGTAGTGTTGCATTGAAATATTTATATTTAGTCCTACCTTACTGGAGAGATGTATAAAGTATTCTCTATTTCCTCCTTGTCTAGTTTGGTCAGGTCTTTAAATTCCAGGTGTACGTACTGAACTGCTCTTCATACACTTTCCTTTGTTAATACTCCTGGGATTAACAGCTTCGTTGTGGTCTGAGCTGCTTCTTAGTGTTCTGCAGTAGTTAGACATTCTCAGACTTCTAATGCAACCAAGATGTTTTTGTAGAAGGCAAGCCATCTCATTCTCTTACTTCTCTATCCAGTTTCTTAATACTCAGCCGAATAAGAACTTAACAGAAAAAGACAGAATTTAAAAACTTTGCCTGTTTTTCAATACCTACAATAAAGGCTAGCAAGGTATCTCAGATGATTTAGGCAATAGGAGCACATGAATAAACAGCAGGAACCCTCAAAATGGGATTTCAATCCCCATGAGAAGAGTTTCCCGAGGTCTGCCAAGAGAATTGCCTGTTATTTTTCAGTAAACTCTTTTCCTTTGGTTTTGGGATTGTCCCATAGCCAGCTGATTCTCTGAGTATCATTCCCATATGTTACGTCGTTACAAGTCTGCATCTCCACTACTGGTAAGAGGGACTACAGCTTCTACAGTGGCATCACAGATAATGGTTTCAAGACCATATTTATGTGTTTTTCCAAATGCTTGCATTCCCTGTTTCTCATGTAACTACTGAACGAATTGCCCTTAAGCAGACATTACTAGCAAAGAAAGTAGTCGTTGTAGTAATTTGAATATCTTTAATTAATAGAGCAATATTATATAAAATAGTTAACTTCCACCTATACTTCAGTTGTTCTCATGAGAACATTTACCCACCACCACCCCTGACTTCTTTCTGGCAGGAATACAGCTTTTGAGCTGTGGGTTTGACTATTCTCAGTGCTTTTTCAATAAACAATCTCTGCTTCCTGCTGCTTTGAAGCGTACGCTGTATTCATTAGACGGTCTGAAAAGTAAATGGCAAATGTCAAACACGGCTTTTGTTCTGAAGCCAGGTAGCCTGCTATCTGTTCCGCTTGACTAAGACTTCACTACTGCTGATGAGAAGAGATCTTAACCGTGGCTGTGATTAGGTATTATAAAATTAATGCACAAAAGTGTGATTGCCTTTCTTGTTGTCTACCCTTGGACTTCCATGTTTCTAAGACATTCTGTCAAAGAGGGTAGGATGGACTTAAATCTAACTTGCAATAAGTGCTTTCTGCAGTGACGGGATTCTTTAGGTCAAAATCTTGCTTTGTTGTCACACTAAGAATGTGGTAACAGAAATATGGAAAGACATGGACACAATTTAAATATGTGCAACTTGCAGAAGGTGAAGTCGAAGACTAATATCTGAACTATGTTAGATTCTTCCTCTGGGAAGGTGGTAATGGTTGGACTCCCTGTGTGACAAAAGAGGCTATAAAGACTTCATAGCCTAGCGTGACTAGGCAACCATGAAATACGGTTTGATTAAACCAAGACATGGCTTTGGACAGGAAGAGGAAGATCCAGCATGAAGCAATTTATGAATCCTTTTTGTAAAGATGGTACCTGAGGCTGTGTAATGGCAGTAAAATTTATCGTATGTATTTGTTTTAAGATCAGTTTAGAATCACTTAAACATTAGAAATTTCTTTAGACAAAATTTCTTTAGACATTTTATTAAACTTGCCTTTAAAGGCTTCTGAAATATAAATCTCAACTACCAGTATTTCTGATTCTGTTACATACTTATGAGTCCTGGAAAGAAAAAGTACTGTTGTTATGATACTTCTGTTCATTTGTTGTTTGCACATTTGTGAGGCGTCACAAATAAGACCAGTATGTCTGACTGTAGTTCCCACGTTTTATCCTTGCTTGTCTTTTTCACAAATAGTTCACAACATACCCTATAGAAGGATAATTCAGACAGGGAGATAACAGGAGTCAAGGTGTGAGTTATATGTTTCCATCTGCCTTTTATTTATCATTTACATTTCTTATTGATTGTACAGAATTCTTTTCTACAAGCCTATACAGCAGTATAGACCACTTTTGCTTTTAAGTTGACGTTTGCGTTTATAGTTCATATATGTTATGTTTTTACCCAGGTTCGAATGCAAGCGTTGAAATGCTTCTCAGTTCTAGCCTTTGAAAACCCACAGGTATCAATGACTCTCGTAAATGGTAAGTATAATGCTGCGCTTGCTTATTCGACACCCATTTTATTGACTGGCTGAATTAGAATTACTTGGAGCTCTCTTTCATTGCTTGCAGTGTCGGTTGATGGAGAATTGTTACCGCAAATTTTTGTGAAGATGTTACAAAGGGACAAGCCCATTGAAATGCAGCTCACATCAGCCAAATGGTAATTTTCATCAGGAATTAGAATGAAATAGTATGCAATTTTATACTTACTTTTTAACTGTTCCCTTTTTGCTTGTTGCAAAGTAGTATGTGATCTAAAATCTTAGGAATAATTATAAATATTATTTGCATTATCTAAATCCTTGGAGAAGTGGTTCTCGCCTAATAATCTCTTAGCATAACTTTCACTCTTTGCCCAGCAACTTTTTTTCCTGTTTATGGCAGTAGTTTTGTCAGGAACACGTATTCAGACATTTGGATTTTCCTAAGTTGAACTGCAGTTTTCACAAGTAGCTTGGATTTTATGCGAAGTTTTAATTTGGATAGGCTATGGTCGATTGTATGTCCTTACAAAGTATAGTACTGAAATATCATCATGTGGTACAGGTTAATGGCCTTATTGCACTTCAGCGCACTCACGCGGGTGTCCAGGGCTGTGGTGTGTTGAGAACTGTGTGCGTTAAGATGATGAGAAAACAGAGCTAGTCCCTCTTCCCGACTGTTTTAATTAAAACAGACTATTCTTCAAGCTTCATGTGCTCACACAGCAGAATTAATGTTATTAATTAATTTTATAGTTGAACTCAAACATTCCCCTCTGGTGCGGGCACGTTTCTGTGTGTTCATATTCATAATGACTTTCTGCCCTGTGACGGAATGTGACCAAGTTCCGTAACGGCAACACTAGGGTTAAGCTGCGAGTTGACTCCCCATAGGACCTTTTTCCTTTTACTGTGTTAATAATAATGGAATAAATTACTTCAGGAGTTTAAAGAGATAAAATTACCCATCACTATAAACTACTAAAATTAAGCATAACTCAAGAGTTTGGTCAATGATGCACTGTTTGATTATTCTTGTAGATTTTGATGGCTTATTTTTGACCTGGATCAGTGAGTTGTCTGATTCAGTTCACCATACAGTGTCACTGACACTTGTCTCGGTGCAAGGGCTCGAGATGCTGGGTGAGGAACAAGTGGGGTAGGTAGGGTGGCCTCTTTTGTGACGTTGCCAGGTTATGATGACAGAAAGCAGTTACAAAGGTGTGTATGTGTGTGGGGGGTTCTCTTAGGTAATCCTGCTCCACGTAGGAGGTCTGTCTGGGGACCTCCCACGTTCTCTTCCAACCACAATTGGTCTATGCAATCTGGTTTTACTGGTTTTGTTAGGTAGCTCTTAGTGAAGAAGGCCAGTTAAATCAACTGCATTGTAGCAGTCTCAGTTCTGATTGATTTGTGTTTCTTTGGGAATTCAGAGAATACATAGAGAATTAAGTATTAGAAATTTCTAATTTTTTTCACTGATGTTGAGATATAAGGCAGTTGATAAGTCATGAAGGTGGGCTGGAGTTATGAGAATTGTTCTGGCTCTAGACCGTCTCCTTGTTCTGGGGTGAATGCTCCCAGGTCTGTTGGTGTTCTTTACTGATCTGCTTCAAACTGGAAGGAGTTGGGTAGACAATCCCATCTTTTGCTGTTGCTTTGCAGTACTTTGGCTCAAGTGGACTTTTGAAAGCATGGAAGAAAATGATGTGGTGAAAAGCAAAAAAAGAAAAATAGAGGACAAACCAGTATCAGATTGAGTTTCTGATTAGTCCATGGGTGGCAGTCATTCTTCTTAGCAGGACACTTAAGGTCTCAGTTTCAAGACAGTCCTCGGAGCTCGCAAAGACCTCTACTGTCTTTTCTTCTATATGTCTACTCCCTGCTTTGTTCCCCTCCAAGTCAGACTATCCCTCCTTTCTTTTTTTCTAGTGAGAGTAATAGGTGAAATTGCCACAGGTCCTTTTTTTTTTTTGGTCTTCTAAATTAAACTTCACTCCTGCCTTGCCAGCTCTGGTCAATTAATCTGTCGTTCCTCTCTGATTATTAGTAGAGCCCTTGGAATGGGGATGTAGAAGGGGGTTTTTATGCATTTGTGAAGCCTTTTGTTAAATTTGTATTTGAATCCGTACTGGTATATAGGGCTATCTTAAGAAGTTTCCTTTGTTTTTCAACAACTAAAGTAGACCCAGAAGACCTGAGTTAATACCTCTTGCTTGGAATGGAGTAAGGATCCTTCACTTGAGCAGCAGCACTGGCACAGAGGGAAGAGCACTCTCCTCTTGGGAGAGTGATTTGCAGCTACAAGTGGAGCAGTAACCTTTTCTACTAAAATTACCAAAATTGCTTCCCACTAAGCCAGGCCTATTCTACCTGAAGTAAAAATACTTTAACTTACTTCATGTTAGAAATAGCACTGCTTTGTCTGGCAAATAGGGTCCAGCTGGACTGAATGGCAGCTGCAAGACGGGTGCTTTCCTCTTGACTGTTCAGGTGTGGAAATGAATATTTCCTGCTGTCAGCTGTAAGGCTTGGACAGTAAAAGTTTATAAAATGATCTCTATGCTAACGGTCAAGTCTTGTCTTTTCGATTCCGAGAAATAATACATAAAAAGACTTGTGGTATGAGATTTTAGCTATGTCTGTCACAGGTAGGTATTTAGAACCGGATCAGTGGTCTTACCTTCTAAGAGGTGAAAGAACTTTCTTTAGGCACTTGGAAAGAGCTCAGGAATGCAGTGAAACGTGATATGGTTACAGAATGTTGGCATATTACTGCTCCTTAGCTGAGCAATAATAATTGACCGTATGTACACTTTTAACCTGCCCAATTGAGAGTTGAAACATGTTAGTTTTAAGTCTTTACTAAAATGTAGTTATTTTTTTAACCTCAACTGTGTCTTGATAAAAGCCCATTACAATAGCTTAGTTCAAAAGATGAAACAAAAGATACTTGACTGTTCCTGCACTGAATGCAGAGCAGTTATCCTCCAGCTTCATTCCACTTCCTTGTAGCACAGCAGGTAAAAACTACAGACCACTTCAAGGGAAACCACTTTTATTGGTGGGTGAACTACTTTGTATTTCTGGTAGCTTGGAGCACGTGTACAGGCAAATTAACAAAGCGACTTAGGTGTTTTGTACAGGCAAATTAACAAAGCGACTTACGCTTTACGTCTGATGTTGTGTGTCAGCGTTGTAGTTGGAGACCTTGGAGTTGTCATAGCCACTGTCTAAGCTGTTGTCTAATAAAGAACAAATGGTGGTTTGGTTCAGTGTCAGAAACTTAATTGGATTCATTATTAGCAAGGATGTGCTTATTCCAGCAGAGTGGTAAGACATGCCCGTGGACAAGCATCACAGTGATAGCGCATCTCCGAGGCTAGTGTAAAGCTTGAATGGTTTCCGACTAAGCTGTCAGACTCCCAACCCTATATTGATTATCTCCCGATTCCTTTAAGCACTTTCTCATGATGCGTGCAGCAAAGGACAGGTCTATGTATATTGCTCTTTTATCTTAATGCAAGTTGTTCATTTGGGGAGGCGGGGGGGGGTGGTGTTAGTAGAAGAGGTTTGTGGATCAATGGAGTTTGATGGTTAGACCTTTTTTGACCAGTGTGTAGTGTATGTATTGATCCAGCAAGATGTCCTGTGCTAGAAATCTCCTTAAAAGTATGCCTGTAGCAGTTTGTTTGTGTGCCCAGGTCTAGTAGGCACAAATACATTTAAATCAATGGTAGAACAAAGGGGAGTACATTTCATTAGTTGGTGGTTCTGCAACATCTTACTTAAGTGCATAAAAAACCAATGATAGGCGAATGCATGTTTTACTATGTTGTTACAGCCTTACTTCCATGTGCAGAGCTGGAGCAATACGGACTGACGATTCTTGCATCGTTCTTAAGGTGAGCTGTAGTTAAACAGTTTTCTGTTTAAAATGTTTTTCTCACATAGGGCTATCCTGGTTTTATTTGTCTCAGAAAAAGTAGCACAAAGTCTGTTACACTGAAAATTTCAAAGCACCAAGTTGTCCTGATTTTTTTATTTAAAAAGCTAGTTCCCTAGTTTCCCTTTGTGTCTTTAAGCATTTATTGTGACATGGCTTTTAAAAGAAATTTTAAATAAAGAATTGTACTAAAAGGTCAATATCCAGGAATAAATATGCTGGAGTTTGACACACATCCGTTTGAGGCTTGTAATCATTTCAGTAACCATTTGTAAGTAACATGGAAACAACATTACTGCCTTGGTCTATGTGTATGAACAAGGCACTGGTTTGCTTTTCAACAGCTTACTTCACAAGACTACGGTCAGAATACTGTCACAATCTATACGTGGAGTCTGTCACGAGCAGAGGATTCCTCAGGTTTCACAATGTTTTTGTACGTTTGTCTGCTTCGTACTTTGGCTAAGGAAATTTGTTATTAAAGAAAAGCAGAAACTGTCATGTTGAAATATTGAATTGGATTTTTATACTGCACGTGACTTTATAAGGAAATTTAGTAAAGGAAGCTTCATTAAATACCACAGGAATGTAACCTCTTAATAGTCACACTTCTATAGCTAGTCAGAAAACAAAAAAGCTGTTGATGAGCAAGCATATCGGCCAGACATCAGATAATACTAACACCGCTTGTTTCTCCATGAGGCGTTGAAGTATTACTGTAACACTGCATTAAGAAAACATTTGCTGTAGGCAAAGGCAGGTTACTGCCGATCGCTGACTGCGTGGAGCTACGCAGGCTCTGCCACGTGGGCCGGATGGATAACTGCAGTCCTTTCAGACCGCTGCGAGCTGATGTGCCTGCCAGCCTCCAGCCATCGGAGCGCTTATTTTGGTGGAAGCTGCTTCTGTGCAAATAAGTGTTTTAAACTTTGGGCTAAAATTTGTTGTAATACTTGAGAGGAGACAAAAGAGTGAGGACGGAAGGAAGGCATAGAACCCGGCCCTCTTGTTCAAACAACTCCTGTAGTTTCTTCTTTTCTTCTGGGGTCGCTCCAGGAGTTCATAGTTTTAAGATAACACATTGTCTCTGTCTGTGGTAAATCCAGTCAAACTCTTTGACCTCTGGTGAACTAGAACAAAGCAATTCCCTCTTTGGTTTTCAGAAATTACTGAAGAGAACTTTCACCCTTTGCTATCAAACTTTCTTCAGTTCTTCAGGAAACACACAGGGATGTGTATTTCCAAAATGGTTTTCATTTATTTTCTTTGCTCAGTTTGAGTAGTGGGTTGACCTGTAACACATGAAAAAGTAAAATCAGCCGGGGTTGGGAGAAGGCAGAGGAGGCTGGTAAATAATGGATTTGCTTGGAAGGGAAATGATTTTCCTGGAATCCTAATAACAAAAGCGACCATTTGTCCAGATAACCCTGGTGTATCCCAGTGATACCATGTGAATTAAGTATTCTATCTTTACAGTCCATTTTCAGACTTTTATCTGCTGGCCGGGAAAGGTCGGGTGTGTTTTGTGGCTCTTCATCTTACACCTCCACATTAATTATGCTGTACTGACCCATAGGTCTAATGGACCAGTTAAAATGTGTCCTTTGGGATTCTTGATTTTGTTTAATTTTAAACAGATGGAATTGCTAAAAATTGAAAGGTATGAGATGTGTGTTTCTTGGGTGCTTGCAGCCAGTAACCTAACAGTATCGAGCCCTTGAATTCCAAGAAATAACTCATTTCAGGCCATTTGATCGTGGAGAGAATTGGGAAGGGCAGTCTCACTTTTGGAATGAGGTGATTTCTGAGGGCTGCTTAAATTTACCAACCCTCAGCAGCCGTTTCATCTTTAGAAGAGTTCTGCCTAACTTCCTGAGGAAGCAGAGGGTCCTTTGGTGTGTCTGTGCTATTGGAACCAGTTTTCAGCTGTTCAGGCTGAAAGTCTTATCTGGTGTCTTAAGTGACAGATAGGCAGGAGGAGGTGCTTTGGCTTCCCCGATTAGGTGCGGGATTAGATGGTAATCCTTGTGGTAGCATCCACTTTTTGAATAATCGTAGGCAAGTCCTGTAACTCTGCTTTCTTACTTGTGGAATGGAGATACTTATCTATTTAATCATTTGAACAGTCAATGGTTAAATTTTATTTCATGTCCCCAAAAACATAACACTCAGAAACATTTTCTACTAGCATAATTCTGTTAAAGTCAATGGAGTAACACAAGCAAAAAAAGCTTGATATTATTCCTCATCTATTTTCATACTTCTGTTTGGTGAGGCTTGAGTGAACAGGTTGAGTCCCAGCCGTTGGAAAATTGGTCTTTCCAGAGTTCAGTGCCTTTCACTGAGCTTCAGGTAAAGGAAGATCGGATTTTTTTTTAATACTTAAAGTAGAGAAAGTATGACAAAAGTGTTACCATATGCCTGTAACCAAGGTAGGAGGGTGTTTCAGGGTAAGGCAGAATGGACCTGGATTCCAAGTGGACTTCATTTCTGGTTGACCAAATATACTACTTGGGAGTCCTCCCTTCCCCTACTGCTTCTGGCAGCCAGCACGACTCAAAGAAGCGCTGAGATTATTTTTTTACTCCATTGTCCTCAGTCAATCCTAGCTTGCAAAGGCACAGGAGGGGTCAAGTACTTCTTGAGGGCAGCTTGGGTACTTCTGGTTCTTGTGTGTAGTAAGAATAAACCTGTGCAAATATGAACTCTTGAGGGTTGGGGGTTTTTTTTAAGCTTTTGTAAAACTTTGACCATGATCACTTCTAAACGTTGCATTCACGTGGACTAATTTTGACTGCATGAGAAGTTGGTTGAAAGTAGCCTACTGTATACTGAGTAATGCCTGAACAATTTCTCTCTGTGAGTGGCCTTTAAAACCACTAAAATCTTGTTGTCTAAAGGTACCAATCTAAAGAACATTGTTAAGAATTGCTCTAGGATAGCTGTTTGATGGGTTTTTTTGTTTGTTTGAGCTTCTTTATGAAGGTAGCTGCACTAAACAATGGGCGTTTTGTTTGTTTTTCCCTAACTTTTCAGACTCTGCCATGTTTGGTTCGAATGTGTAGTAAGGAAAGACTGCTGGAGGAGCGAGTAGAAGGAGCAGAAACACTAGCCTATTTGATTGAAACGGATGTGGAGCTCCAGAGAATTGCCAGCATTACCGACCACCTCATTGTCATGCTTGCTGACTACTTCAAGTATCCCAGCTCAGTGAGTGCAATCACTGATATCAAGAGGGTACGTTTCCTTACCCAGTTCTGAAGCTTTGAAAATGTGCAAAAACAATAATAAATGGGCTCAGGATAATTTTTTTTATTCTATTTAAACGTTATGTCTGAGTTCTTCAGTAGAAAGGTGACCAGATGTCCAGCAGGACTTGAATCCTGATGCATATAGTCCCCAAGTCTTTGCTCACTCACTGCTTTTTCTGGAGACTTTATGATCCAAACTAAAATTACTGTGTATATCTGGACTCCTGGAAGAAGGCTGCTGCCATTCTTCTATGTCAAAGATAAGAGAGATGAGCTATGGGTAGTTTAATATAGCTTCACCATACAAGTTTCATTACATTTTCCAGAGATAGCAGTGAAGTACCAGACTGAGACATCTGTCATGTTTCTCCTTTGCAGAGTTTAAAAGACTTACCAGTGCGTTCCAGCTTCATAAGATATAATAGCCCATGTGATGGGAAATCGATTTAAATTCTTAGGTCAGGTTTGTGAAAAATGTTAAGTTCAGAGATGGCTCTGTTCTGTTTAAGCAGAAAAGCATGTGGATTTCTTGTAGCATTTCCTATTATGAGTTACCTGCACTTGCAAGAGGTTGGATAAACGGAGACCTGATACACCTTGGAGACATAGTATCATAGGTGTTGTACCAGGAGTTCTCATCCATGAGCTTTTTTTTTTTTTAATAGATTTGCATACATTTTCCAAAGCACTAGTAGATCAATCAAAGCCCTCGTGGGTCAATCACCCTCAGAAGCAAGGTTGTTTTTGATATTCTGCATAGGGAAATAACCATTCCCTATTCCCTTCCCCTCTTACTGAGTCTGATTCTTAGAAAGGTCCCCAGAAAACAGGCTTACAGAGCCTTGGTTTTTCTCTGAAACTAATCCGAGAGGTATACTCACTTCTCAGACTTTTATAGAATGGGATTGATTGAGCATATAGAGTTGCCTAGAATTCTATGTAAAAATGCAAATTAAATATAAAAAAAAATAGTTACAGTATAAATTTAAATAAGCAGAAGGAAGTTTGGCAGCTGACTGGGGAGTAATGGATGTTGGCTGTGGCATCAAAAAATGATTAGGTTCCAAATGTGAGTGGGGCAGTTATAAATATTATGACATTGCTTTGAGTGTTCAGAAAGTCTGTAAAAACAGTCATCTGGGAAGCCAGGGTGCTTACTTTGTTAAAAAATCTTTGAATTACACCCCGTAAGGTAAAAAAATGTGTGAGTTGAGGACTCTGACAAACAGATTACTTGTCTGGTTTAAATATTTTTAACAATGAGATAATACATTCTGCTCTAGTACAGCTACATCAGAAAGAATTACTTGTACAGCGTAATTTTTGACAGTTCTTTTACTGCAGCGCTTTGCTGCTTAATGCTTACATTTTTCTGGTATTTTGTGTAGACTTTAAATATTGCATTGTTTTGTGGAACCCTTTGGTACAGAGTTTTGAGGCCAGTCAGAATCATGGAATTATTCTCATTGGAAAGAACGTGAGGAGGTCTGAAAGTCCTAATTTCCTGTTCAAAGCAGGGTCCGTGCTGAGCTCAGATGAGGTTGCTCAAGGCTTTGTACAATTGGCTCTTGAAAACTGCTAAGAATGGAGATTAAACAACCTCTCTGAGCAATCTGTTCCAAAATTTGACTGTTCTAATAGTGAATTTTTATTTCTTATATCCAAGTAAGAACCTCCCCCGTTTCAGTTTGACTATTGTCTCTCCTCTTGCTGGGCACCTCTGTAAAGAGTCTGGCTCCACGTTCTCCTTGTAGGTAGCGGAGGGCGGCTCTTAGATCTCCGCTAAGCCTTCTCTTCTGGCTGAACAAGCCAGGGTACACCCCGTCTGCTTCTCCAGGTCTCCTTTCCTGAAGTCAAGACTCTCTGCTCTGCTCCATGCCTTTCTCGTGCCTCTCAGGAACTTGAACACCACGATCTTATGATCCCTATAGCTGGTGCTCCCATTGATTATCATGCCCCCAAGCAGTTTTTCCCCGATTTGTGAGCAGCATATCCAGCGGTGCATCACCCTAATTCACACCTCTGCACCTGTGTTTGAGAAGTTACCTTCCAGAACCCACACAGGCAGCTTGCACCCTGCTTTGTTGCTTTTACAGCAGAAGACTGGAGCTAAAAGACACCTTAAGATGGAAGTCCTGTGATTTAGAGACTGTCTTCCATTCCCACTTTTGCTTCACTTCTCCTGATAAAACTTCCTTTGATTCTGTCCCAATTTTTTCATTTCTGGCTTGTTCCTGGAAGTTTCTGTTGGGTAAATAAGAGTAGCTTTTGCCTGGATATGGTCTGGATAGAGTCATAACTTTATAGAAGTGTTTTGGCCTCAAATTGTTCCAGTTGACCTGTCTGTAATTCAGCAGATAAGTTAACCATAGTCTCAACTTCAGTTGTGTTCAGTTCATAAACGTGGACGTCAGCTAATGGAAGAGCAGTTCATTTGTGTTTCTGGCTGCCCTTGGTGTGGTAGAGAAAACCCCAGTAGATAAGCGCTACTTTACAACAAAGAAGAATATCATGCCTGTAATTTTTTTAGCGTCTAAACTTGGTATCTGGGCTTTATTTAAATAGCTTGACCATGATTTGAAGCACGCCCATGAACTCCGCCAGGCTGCTTTCAAGCTCTATGCTTCCCTGGGAGCAAATGATGAAGATATCCGAAAAAAGGTGAGCCTGTGAAAAATGTTGGCAATCTGGCAAAGATGCAGCTAAAGTTAGGCTGAAAGGCAGTGCAAGAATTTACACCCTTCCAGCCCCTTTTTTTTTCTTTCTCTTCTGTTGTGATGTAAATAGGTTGAAATGAGAAGGCTCTCTTTCCATTACGTGGATATAAACTTTCAGATTGCGCTTTCATTGCGTGGGATTTGAACAAAAATTCATGTCTTGCTCTAACAAATGTGAGAGTCATGTTTATTTTTATGTCATCTTTCAACATGTGGTTGTTGCTACTCATAAGCTGTGCAGGAATATTGTTGGTCCATATGAGTAATTTCTGAAACCTGTGTTCTGAGGGATAGAATATACGTACATCTGTTGTCTTGTATCCTATTATTAAACAAATGTTTGGTTTTTTTCCAAAAATAAACCCTGAAAAGTCTAGTCATATTGGTAAACAAAGTCAAAATTTGTGCCATGATTCTGAAGCGACCAAGGGGGCTTGCACTGTCACAACGAAGCAATTGGCGTGAAGAAGGACAAATTCTATTCAAACATTACAGGAAACAGATGGGATGATGGAGCAGTCATATAGTTAAAAATTTATGTGTGGAAAGTGGAGGGAAATTAAACAATGAATGATTAAAAGCACCTTTTTTTTTTTTTTAAATTAAGCATGGAGTTGCTATGTCAAGTGTGGCGCGTACAGGAGGCTGGAGAATTTTCTGAGTTTATTTGCTGGTTAAAGGGGAAAAACGGAAGGAAGAAAGATGTGCACAGGAAGGAGGCAGGAAAACAGTGTTGAAAAGATAACTAGCAGGAAGATTTATCAGAGTGGAACCATTCAGGATCTCCAGAATTCAAACCCATAAACTTTCTTTTGTTGCAGGTTGAACTTCTTTCGTTAATAGTAACGCTCCTTCTTTTACATATCAAGGCATTGTTTTTAATAAGTGGTGGGTGTGTACATGACAAAGTTGATTTTATTATACAGAACTCATCTTTCATCTTGGTATTAACTCTCTTTTATCCTAGTCTTAAGTGCTCGCGCTGGCCGTGTCTAAATATGGCACATGAATTACTACTTTTTTTTCCAGGTAGCTCTACAACATGTCTATAATCTGTAGTTTGTATTTATTGTGTGCACTCACACGTCCACTCTTTTGTTTTAATATGGCATCAAGAGTAATTCGTATATATGTATATATAACCCTCTTGTTCCTTGATGATTAATGGAATCATTTTTAAAGCAGTAGTGGAGTATAGAATGTGGAAATTTTTTTTCTAAATTTTATGCAGATACACACTACTTTCCACTTAATCTGGGAAGAGAATAAGGCTTGCTGGTTTTAGCTACGGTTTTTATATGCAATATTTAAAATGTTGCAGCCAAAAACCCAAACCCCCATGAATGCTCATATTATTTTATTTGTGTACCATTAATTCCTTTTTGCTCCAGATCATCGAGACTGAAAATATGATGGACCGTATTGTTAATGGCTTGTCTGAATCCAGTATCAAGGTGCGGTTAGCTGCAGTCAGGTAGGAGGCTTTTCTGATTCATACAAATACTTTTGTCTTATCAAAATCTGATGCTGTACTCGTTAGAATTTCTGATAATTTTTCATAAGCTAATCTGAAGTCATTTCTACTGCTGGAAAATTTATTGTGGGAGGTGGGGAATTATCCCAGACTAGGACGATATTTACTTCTTGCTATTTACAGTCTACTACTTGACAAATTCTAAGCTGAATCTTCGCGTAGAAGCGATGTCTGCTTTACGGTAGTATACGCGTGAGTGTGCGTGTTTCACAGTGCAGGTTTCTTTTCTGGGACAGGTGTTTGCACAGTTTGTCCCGTTCTGTACAGCAGCTCAGGACAAGTTTTCAGGATCATGCTGTATGGAAACCTTTAATGAAGGTAAGTAGAGAAAAGCAAGTCTCAACTACTGAAGTGTTCTGTTCCATTAAAGCAGAATATGGTGTCTGTTCCATTTGCATGCCTTTCTGTAGAATCCTAATAAAAATTACCTAGAAATCAAAATTCCGTGACCTTCTAAGAGGGTCGCAAATCAAAAGCCAAGCAGCAGCAAAGAGGACTGTGGTCCATGCTTGATTTTTGGTTGGGGTTTTTTTTTGTTTGTTTGGTTGGGGGTTTTGTTTGGTTGGGTTTTTTTAAGTGATCAATGAGTGAGACTATGTTATCCCTAATGTTTACAGAGGGCACTGGGAGGACTATATATCCCTTACTTTCAGGCTCAGACTATATGGCAGAGTTCAGACTTGGTCTATAAGCCCTACAAGAGAATTTAGGTCTGCATTTTCTCCTGTAATTCTCTACGTCTTAGATCTCATTGCAAATTTTAAAACTGAAGCCAAAAGAGCTCAGCAGGACCTTTAAAAAGGCACATTTTAATATAATGCAATTATCCACAAGATTAAATGAGAACAAAGTGTGTAAGGTATATATCATCGTCTCATCCTGTAATGCGACTGTCATTAAGTGCAGATAAATAAACCGGTTTCTCAGTTTCAGTGTCTTTTAGACCTTGAAAATGGGGAACAAAGTCTGCTAGCAAGAAGCTGGCAAGCTTGGGCAGCATTAACACCCACGAGAATCACCTGAAGTGAGCTTGACTCTCTATTCAGAAGTGAAATAGCCAGACCAGAGAAAGTGTTGTCAGCAAAAATAGGCTGATGAGCTTGATAACGAGGCAGTGATGTGAGCTGACTGTCCAAAGCTCAAGAGGGAAGGAAGAGCCTGAAAGGAACTAAAGGATCAGGAGATCCCTCGGTTATTTCTTGTTGTACTTCAATACAAGATTGATGCCTGTCAGACATACTACTCACTGACATGTTATTCAGGCCTGACTTTCTCTGTTCCGCTGATGTTCTAATTCTCACAAGTTACAGACTTAAGAGAACTGGGCTCACTAGTTATACTACACTCTCTGGCCATCTTGTTGGCTGCAGGCCCAGAAACTTTCTCAGCCTTTGAAGTTGCTTGCATGAATTAGAGGCCCTAAAGTATGGGTCTACTTTTTTGTATGGTTTCAATATAAAAATGAGGGGGAAATTATTTTCTGACGGTATACACAGAATCACAGAATCACAGAATGGTCAGGGTTGGAAGGGACCTCTGGAGATCATCTAGTCCAACCCCCCTGCCAGAGCAGGGGCACCTACAACAGGTTGCACAGGATGGTGTCCAGGCGGGTTTGGAATGTCTCCAGAGTGGGAGACTCCACCACCTCTCTGGGCAGCCTGTGCCAGTGCTCCACTACCCTCAAAGTAATCCACACAATCCACTTATTACAAGTTAAGCATTCATCCTTGGACTGGGTGTGTGAGTTGTAATACTAATCCATGGACGTCTAATTCATTAGTCTTAATGGGAGGTCAAGGGAGATTTGATCATGCAAGTTTTGTGCTGTCACTGTAGCATACTAATTCCATGGTTCAGGACTCCTGATCATGACCTGAAGGGGCTTGGAGGGAATGGTTTGAATGTTTTAAGAGGCTGCAAAAGGCCAAACGTGAAAGCATCAAACCTTTATAAATGTAAAACACAAAAACTACAGGATTGCTTGAAGAAGCACAATTAGCATAAAAGGAGAGCCATGTGAAAAAAACAAATGTACATTTCAGACCTCTGTAAACGCAGCTGCTGGCAGTTGTTCATTTTGATTTGTATTAAGTAAGCAGAAGTCAGAAACTGTTATGTTCACTCCAAAACATCAAGAATTATTCTTAATAGAAAAATAAAAGTAATATTAAATAAAGAGAAATTCATTTTCAGTCTAGATTAATAACAACTACGTAAGTCCTTTCACTCTCCACTAGCACGTATAGCTGTGTAAGCCATGGAGAAATAATGTCTAAAATTATAGAACTTACATATATGTACTTCAGTACAAGCTGCTGTAAATGCAGTAATTGGTAATCACAGAATCATAGAACAGTTTAGGTTGGAAGGGACCTTAAAGACCATCCAGTTCCACCCCCTGCCCTGGGCAGGGCCACCTCCCACCAGCCCAGGTTGCTCCAAGCCCCGTCCAACCTGGCCTTGAACACCTCCAGGGATGGGGCAGCCACAGCTTCTCGGGGCAACCTGCCCCAGGGGCTCACCGCCCGCACAGGGAAACATTTCTTCCTAAGATCTATTCTAAATCTACGCTCTACCTTAATGTTGGCAGTTTGCTTGCTGCTCTGAAATAGAAGGTGATAGAGAACAATCCCTCCATTCCCCCTTTCTTTGCTGGAGGAGCAGCTGTGTCCTCCATGCCTATTTCTTCACTAAGTTTTCTCAGAACACGCTAGGGAGATGCTCTGTTTAAGAGTGGCATGTATTGGTCTCCTTGCAGATCCAGGCACAGATAAGAGAGAGTATAACTTCTTCCAGACTACTTGCTTGTCTGAAAGGATGGTCATGAGGAAATTTGCTGTGTTGTGCTTTGCTCATGGTACAGAAGTGTTGAGGAGGCTCCTCCTGGAGTTTCCTCCACTTTCCTGTAAACCATGACGCAGCGCTGCACCGCAGGACATAGCCTGCTCTCTGGAAAGAATGGCTGCAGAGCTAAATTCCAACTGCCAGCACATGTACGCTTTGCAGAGCGGGGATCTGTTCCCACTGATTTCTTTTAAATTGGACCTAAAAGCTCTCAAATCTGGCTTCTGCAACATAACTTCACATTGCTCCAGCGTGTCATGTAACGCGTATCATCACATTGAGCTGAATGAGCGCTGCCTGGATCTGCAGTGCTAGCATCAAAGCATCTCCTGAAGTACAGAGTATCAAAGTGCAGCATAACTACAGGTATTCCATTTCAAAATGATCCCTCCTTTTTCCTACTGGTTAACGGAGATTCCTCTCTCTGCCCTTTGTGACTGCAGGTTTTACAGAATGCTCCAAATGAAATTCTTGTAGTAGCATCTTCCACGCTATGCAATCTTCTTCTGGAATTCTCTCCAAGCAAGGAGGTTAGTATTTACCCAGAAACAAGAAGAGGTAATAGACAAAAGTTACATTATATAACAGTTCCTTAAGCATAAAGGTATCTTAATTGGTATTCACTGGTTGTGCAGCATTATAGAGCTGTAATGTTAGGCACACTGTATCACTGATAGCTGTGACAGTTAAATATGGTTGAATAGTTAAATGCAGTATCTTCAAAGTAGACATGCAATTTTGGGGTTTTTTACAAGTAAAACGCTATCATCTAAAAAAAATCATAAGCAAGAAGAAAACAAACCGATAATTGGCAGTATGATCCATTGTTTTAGAGAATTACTGCTGTAATCTTGAAAATGCTGGCACAGCTGAGTCTTGTGGGTTTTATTGTTCTTGAATGAATGAATGATACAGGATATCTGGTCTTGAGTTCTGCAACGTCCGTATTTCGTACAGATCATACGTACATATCAGTACTTCATAGCAGTGGAAAAATTCCCTAAGTCTTAAGTATTTCTTAATTACAGACAGCGTTTGCAAGATAGTGTTATACGTGGGCTCCTACATGGTGCTTTGGATTACCTTGGTTTGATCAATTGATCTTGGTGGTTTTAGTCGTGTCTGTGAGACAGAAAATTAACTGAAATAACGCCAAGGACAGTTCACTGGCCCGTGGGCTTTCTTGTTCATACTGCGGGTCACAGTCAGTGTAGTGTTTCCACTTCAAATTGGATCGAAATACTGAATTTTCTATTGGGACACATTGTTCATGTAAAAAACATCCTTGCCAAAAGAAAATACTGCTTATGCAAAATGGAGGCGTATTTAGAAGTGTTAGATTTGAAAGCATCTATAAGCCATCTGATCTTCGTTTGATACATCACCTTTTTTCTACACAGTATTTTGAAAATTGTAAACTGCCAGTCACTTAAGTAAATAAACAAAGCTGAAGTAGATCTGTATTTTACGCTAGGAAAGAGCTGAGTCAAACCCAATTTTGGAATGTCTCCCACCTGCTGTGGCTGTGCAAATGTCCGTAGGAGGCAGCCAGCTGCCGGGCCTCTGGCAAAATCACTGGCAGCTTATTGCAGTGCATAAGTGCCTGGGGACCAGGTGAACTTCAGCACAAACTGCTGCTGCCTGGTTCTGTTACGGGCTTGCCGCGATCCAGTGAGATGGGCCGGTTCCTACAAAGTGCAGCCTTTTCCAAACATTCCTCTTTTCTCATGAATTCAGCTCTTAAGTGGGTTAAAAAACACGCAGCTTCCCCCAAACTCAGGTATGTTCAGTTCTTCACTGCTTTTGAAGCAGTAACTGCTGGAAGAAGCGAATACCTTACAAACGAGTGCAGCATAAGTCACTGCATGAATCTTTTTAGCGTATGAGCTCTTTGGGCCTTAAATAAAACTAGTGCTTCAAATTCAGTTCAAGCTGAAAGCAGTTGTTCCAAACTTAACTTTCATTACATTAATCAGTTTGAAAGAAAAGCTGCATGTATTGATGTTTTTCCTGTCATTTAAAGACGTGATACTACGGAGTTTTGCATTTCAATCCAATTATCAAAAGCAGTCTCCAGTTTTCTTCATTGTGCTAAAGTTTTTCTATTGGATTTTAGTTTGGTCTGATTACTAAACACAAAGATTAAATGTCAAGAAAGATATCAAGTAGCTTTCATTGTCCTTAAACTTTTTTAAGCAGTCACGTATGTCCAATTTGAGACCCAGAAAGATGTGATTGCTCAAGGAAGACTGCTTTTGGAGAGCAGCCCCAGGCTGAAAGTTGTTGGGGAAAACCTATTTGCTGGTGTGAATGTGGCAGGGGTGTGTGTGTATACAAATAGATATATATATATACACATGCAGAGACATATCTGTATACGTATACACATGCATATGTGTGTATATCTACACATACATACACAGCTGTGTGTGTATATACATACATACATAAGGGGTGTGTGTGTATACAAATAGATACATATATATATACACGCACAGACATATCTGTATATGTATACACATGCATATGTGTGTATATATACACATACATACATACACACATGTGTATGGCTGTCTATATACATGTGTGCACATACACAGATACACATGAGAATAAAGCCATCTTGACCTGAGTTTTTTTCATAAAAACCTACCTTTTAATGCTCGTGAATATAGGGTATGGCATGGCCAGTTCATGTGAGTGGACTGGACATGTTGTAAACTCAAGAATAAGATATAAGAAAGGCTTTTTTTTGTATTATATTTACATTTGTATATATGTCTAATGAGTCTAAGTAGAGTTTTAAAGAATTTTTTTTCCCCCTCTTCACTTTAGCCTATTTTAGAATCAGGAGCCATAGAACTTCTATGTAGTTTAACACAGAGTGAAAATCTTGCCTTGCGAGTGAATGGCATTTGGGCTTTAATGGTAAGTAGACGCCACTGATTAAATGCCACTTGTGATTTTGCTTCTTAAAAAGTTTGTGAATGTAACTTAAAGAACTCATCAGTTGTTACTAAAAGATAACGTAGCTGAAATCTGGCTTGTCTTTCCACCTTATTACAGAAGGAAAACAGTATCAGCCTGAAACACTTCATCAATTAGTCCATAAAATAAAATAAACTTTTCAGTTCTGATACCAGTTTGGCTGCCAGAATCATTCAGGGAAACAGTTAAGTGGTGTCAGTAGCATGCCAGGGGACAAATAAAAGCAGGTAATAACCACATCAGCCGTAAGATCTTGTGGAAATTTAATTCAGTGTGTAGCAGTTCCTCATAAGTTATAACCTTTGCGAGATTAATTTTAGCAAGGATATATGCTTGCCTCTTTCCTAGAACTCAAAAGGAGAATAGCTTTGTTTCCTTCAGCAGTTCATGTAGCCCATGAACACAAACTAGAAGAGTGGAAGCCCAAGGTTAAGGTAAAAAAATCAAACAAAAAATTTCTGTCTCTTTTAGAACATGGCATTTCAAGCGGAACAGAAGATCAAATCAGACATCTTACGAGGTCTGAGTACAGAGCAGTTATTCCAGTTGCTTTCTGATTCCGATGTAAATGTTCTGATGAAAACGTTGGGTCTGCTCAGGAATCTTCTGTCTACTCGACCAGTAAGTAGAGCTGCAAACACCTTCTGAAAGCTGATCAAACCTGCAGACAGTACAACTTAATTCTTAATCCTTTTTATAAGACAAGTTATTTTTCTGTTTAAGATTAATGTTCGATATATTGCTAAAACCGAGGCCTTTGGATTTATCCAAGTATCTGTAACCAAATGGACAAATTTAGTGTAAGAAAACATTTGAAAGAATTCTCTACACCCACTGAAACTTTGTGGTTATTATCAAATACAGAGCTAGACAGTTACATTTAATGTTCAATTCCACTGCATTTAGCTTTCAGCAAAATTATTTTCCTAACAGTCTTTCTGTGAAACTTGTCCAGAACAACAATAAGAGGGTGGCGCTGTTGAGTCAATGTGTGGAGAGGTACATATCTTAAGGATACCTGTGTTTCTTCTTTCTTGACACCTGAAATATTTTTGTTCTTATCCATCTATATAGATACTACTGGCTTTTTGAATTTGACTGTGGGACTGTGCACTTACAAAATGCATACGTTCATTTTACACACTGAAATAAAATGGTTTGAAAATGTAAGCCCATGAATTGTTTTTGACAGGGAGAAAGAGATATTGGTGGAGGAAAAGAAAGGGGTAATCCCCTGTGAAGAACAGAGGGAAAACATGCAGCAAACATTTGGCAAGCCAACATTTTTGTGGGGGAAAAAAACCACGAAGCCTCTACTGTGCATTTATCACGTATTGTGTTTCTACCATAAAAAGGTCACTGCAAAAAATCTTCTGATATTTGTACTCGTTGAGTCTCAATAAGCTTAATAGAAAATTAGTTGTCTTAATGTGAAAAGATATTTAATAACCAGTCATTCATTAAATTCACCCTGAGCTCTTGACAGTAGAGTCTCATTATCACTTAAGGTGTTCTTCATCTGAAACTATGTCCCAGCTTCACCTACTTTCTGTAGTATGTTTTAGAGCCAGAACCAACCATTCTCATTCTCTACCCAAAACTCACTCCAGAATAACTCATCCAGCAGCTTTCGAATGAAGTCTCGTTATTAGCGGTTTTAAGAAGTCCTACAAGAATCCCTAACATCTTAAAAAATTGTAGTGTGCCATGTGCTGGTAATCTCTGGTGGCTGTTTGATGTCACTCTTGAGTTTTGATATTAGTTAATCCAGTCGATCTAGTTTCACCTGTTTCTGTTACTCCTAATGATCAATTTTATTCTAGTATAGGTATTGTAGTATGTGATCAAATGACCTTTTACCTGTAAGTCTCTTGAGACAGTTTTCCTATACAATAAGTAATGCATTTTGCTTATTTTCTGAACCCTCTCAGACTTTTGAAATGCGGATATCGGACCTGGTCGTAGCGTTCCAGTAAGAGTAGCAAATACCAGATAAGAAACCTCCGTTTTCTTACCCCTCTCTGATATCCCCCCGTTATCAGAAGAGAAGTGGTTCTTTCTAACTGCAGCATCATGCTTAGAGCTTGGGTCCCGCAGCATTCAGTCTTCAGACTGGCCTCCGTGCAACTGGGAAACCAGTGTCCTTTCTACAGGTGACAGTGAAATCAGAACCAAGGCCCATACGTACCATGTTCTCTCAAACAAGAGCAGGCTTCAAATGAAGAGGAATATTATGAAGTGTTTCTGCTGTGATAAGTTCTTGGTTTTGGGAGACCTCGCTAGGAGCTAGGGTCTTTTTGCAATGTTGCTACTCTTTACTTAGAGTAACTCAAGTAGGAATGCCTCTTCTTGGTCTGGAAAGTTACACTGATTGTATTTCATCATTGCTTTGGCAGCACATAGACCATATAATGAGCACTCATGGGAAGCAAATCATGCAAGCGGTGACCCTCATTCTGGAAGGGGAGCACAATATAGAAGTCAAAGAGCAGGTACCCTTTTTTGTTTCATGTTGTCTTGGCAGAATAGAATTTAAGAAACAGCTAAGAATGCTTACTCTTCTCAACATGTCTTTTTTGTTTGGGATTATGATGTGCTGTGAATATTTTATGGAGATCTGTCAGTTTAATAACTTTATTACCTACAAGAATGCTCTTCTTTCCAACGGATTATTACAAATGGGTTTTAATTGAATTCAGAACGGTTTTTTTTAAATGTAGGTGCGGTAAAGAGGAAAGCACTGTATGTGAGAGCAGAAGAATTAAGTCTAAGGCAATTGCGTGGCAGAAGGGGGACAGTAGGAACAAGGAAAGAGAAAGAAGCCAGTATTTCACACTGGGGAAAGCGTCGTGGTTATTTGCTCCTATGGCAGCCGTTGGAGCAGTCAGTAATGAAGACTAAAGTCATCTGTTGCCTTGCTGGCAGTAATACGTCTTCTGCTGGGCAATGTGGTAACTCAGCAGTTCTTGGGTGCCTGCGGGAGCCAGCAGCGATTAGAGGAGGAGAGGCACTAGCAGGGAAAAGAGCATGCTGGTGTAGCCCAGGAAAAAGTGGGGAGGGATATGCCCTGAGAAATTACAACTTAAGAAAAGCAATATGTAAGAGGAAAGAGGAGATGGCCAGTAGGGAAAAGCATCCCTGGCTTGGTGGCAGCTTAAGGGGGCCAAGGTACCAGGACACCTGCTGCGGAGATGCTAAAGCAAAAGTAAGAGGATAGATGGGCAGAATTTGGCTGACTAACTCTTTTTGACAGACAAGACAGTCGGTTGGAGAGCGCTGTTTCTTCCTCATACAGGGCATGTGGTGATGAACAATGTGGGAGATTCCAGAGGGTTGCTTTGGCTTAGCAGAGAGATTGGTAGCAAACAGCATGGCCAATGAGGGTAAAAATACAATTGACTCCAGGCTGGACTAAACCTCTGCTCAGTGAAGAATGGGCTGAAGGAGAACAGGCCTTTTCTGGCTATTTAAGCACAAAATTAGCAAAAAAAAATACCCCAAAGACTCTTAATAGATAGCGAGTTTAGTGATACCATGGTTCTGAAACAGCTGAGGACTAACCAGTTGTGTCTTTCTAAATAGTTCTTCCCGATAAAGCTCTAGTGACAGGAATAGCCATCATTGCAACAGGTTGTTTATATTGCCAAGATGCTCGGAATTATTTTAGAGGAGAATCTGTGTACCTGAGAAATCCTCTTGGAAAGGGCTGGTAGACTAGGGCTGAAAAAGCCTTTAGGGCTTGGGGCCTTTGTACGCAGAGCATTGTCTTTGTCCCTGGGGTGTGATCAGCAGCTTGCTCTTATTTCAGAATCAAGTCATGCATCCAGTACTGCCTATCTGCACGCGAGAGCCCATACTTCTGGCAGGACAGTGCTTACCTCTGTCACTGACTCGCTCATCAGTATGTAATTAGCAGCTTGGAAGTAATAAATCTCTGCAACTGCTGACATGAATGCAGTGCAGCTTAGACGCAGGCATCGTGCGAATGCTGATCATTCCACGGTGTCCTCTTGTAGTCATCCCTGCATGTGAAGAAAAGGTGGTTAAGTTCTTCCACAGCTCTTTGGGAAAGAATTTGTAGAGCATCTCCCGGTGCCTCCTGAGAACCAGGAAAGCTGCCTGGGCAAGTCTTAATGCCATGTGCATGTAGTGCCAACATGGGCCTACATGCTTCAGGGTTGTTCTGTAGGATGGCTTCTCCAATTTGCAAGAAATAACCAGATGCATTAGTGGTTTGAGTTATCTCTGCAGGTAAGATATGTGATTAGACTTGTTGAAAACAAATTATTACTCTGCTAGATCAGCAGATAGGCCTCTGTCTTTCCTTTTCCTCGCCTGAAGAACTAGATGGATATATTTGGTTTTCGGTGTTTTTCCCTAGCTCTGATGCGGAATAGGCTGCTTTATTTTCTGATGTATTTAATGTTTTCTGTATGCTGCATATTTCCATGAGAAACTTAAGGTTTTACTCATTGAAATGAATTAATGAATGTTGCTTTTTATTTTAAAATGGCAATGACTTTTTTTTTTTGCCAGGGCTGTTCATCCACAGCTGTTGACTCTTTGGCATTGGCCCCAGATGTAAGCAAGCTGGAAACTCCAGATTAAAGATACTAAAATTAATTAAAGAAATTGTTTGTCACAAGTTCAAAGCTGTCAAGGGAACTGTATAAATCATGGGATGTGATCTGTGGCCAAATAACTTAACAGTTTTTCTCTCTTTCAGACATTATGTATACTTGCCAATATAGCAGATGGAACGACAGCAAAAGAATTGATTATGACCAATGATGACATTCTGCAGAAAATCAAATACTACATGGTATGGAGAATTTATCTTAAATGTTTTATGTTGGTCTTTTGCTGGAATTAAAAGGGAGTAATTCAGCATTTTGGTCTGTAAATTATTCAGTAGCACGCATGTAACTTTCACGTACCCAGTTGTGTTTAAGAAATCGCAGTTCTATATGGCCGAGGTGTACTGAGGGTCTGATTAACAGGAAAATCCAATGTTGATTTCCCATAAGAAATAAGTGACTTAAGCAGTGCCTGTAACAAATCTACATGGAAAACGTTTCATGATCTTGGAAAAGGCATATCTTGTTAGACCTCAGTAAATATTTGGAAGGAAGTGATTGAACGCTACTCGAGTGCCTTATATTATGGCACTATCTTTGAGAAAAGTTGTAGATAAGAATTAGCCCCAACTTTGCTACCTTGTTTATTACAGAATGAGTCCCAAAATGTAATTCCGGGAATGTCTGAATTTCTTCTTCTAAACTTGAGTACTATTTTTCTCTATTTAGAGTCATTCAAATGCTAAACTTCAGCTTGCCGCCATGTTCTGTATATCTAATCTCATATGGAATGAAGAAGAAGGTAAGAAAGCCTCATTATTAATGCATATACAAGTTACTATCCTGATCAAAAGGCTAATGTTGCATAGTAATTGGTATTTGCAGAGCACAGCACAGTGGGATCCAAACCATCATTACAGCTGTAATACGAAGTGAGTGAGTGGTCAGGAGGACATTGAGGAAAGTGTAGAGAGCTCTTCTGGGGCAGGAAGTGAAGAGATGAGAAGACAGCGTCAATAAAGGGTCACACGGTGGGAGGTTTTCACTTGTAGCACTTCTGTAAAATCTGAAAACCATTGGAGTGAAAGAGAATCCTAGTAAGAAAGCTTCTGAGTCTTAAGAAGGTTGTGGAAACTCATTGTTGGAGGGAGCAGGTTCACTGGGGAGGATAAGAGGAGGGAGGATTAGAAAGGGGATTCGTTGCAACGAAATTTTCCTCTTGAAACCAGTCAAAGGACTTGTGGGTGGAACTGGAAGGAATGGTAAGAGTCACGGCCTAGAACAATGGAAGGTAACCAGGAGGGAGCTGAAGGATGCTGCTGTGCAGAAAATTATGTGTTTGTGTTGAGGGGTGGAGAGGGCAGCTGGAGGCAGCAGTGTGGAGCTGGAAGAAATGGCAAGGGAAGGAGTGGTGGGAGGTGGTGTCCTTTGAGGAATGGTGGGGCTGGGAGGCGAGCTTTCTTGGATGATTTATAGACCCTCAAGTTGGCTATGCTGCTCTTCAGCAAAGAAATCAGTGTCTCTACTTGGATTTGGGTTTTTTTACCCTACTGCGTAACTTACTCCACATCTCTCAAATCACAGAACTTCACTCAGTGTGGGACACTTGGCTATGCTCCTGGGTGCTTTCTACTCATTATAGTGGCGTTATACGGTGCCACAAGTCAGATGCAGAAACACGCCTCCGGTTAAATGTTCTCTGCATCCAAATCAGAGAGATGAAAATAAACCAACTGAAGTCAAGCTTTGTGCTTTAGGATAAAATGTGTTCAGATTTTTACCTTCGAATTTTTCTTTTCTTTAAACATATGCACACGGAGTACAAAAAAAGAAACTTGAGCTCCCTTGGGAAGTAGCTGCAACTGAGGGAGTGTTTCCATTGCTGGGTTCTAACAGAGCTGTGTTCCATACCCCTCCTTTAAGCTGGTTTCTGTTACCACTGCTTTCTTCTGTTCTGCAGACATTTATTTTTGGTGGTATTCCCAACAATGTGATTTATTGTTGTAGGTTCACAAGAACGCCAAGATAAACTACGAGACATAGGAATAGTAGATATTTTACATAAATTGAGTCAGTCATCGGATCCAAATCTGTGTGACAAGTGAGTATAAAGAAAAATCCAAAAAAGAAGATTAGAGGGAAATCTTTGCTTTTCATTAAAAAAGAGTCCTTTTTTGAAATCTTTTTATTATAGAAAAATTCCCCGGAAAAACTGTCTATCATTGCATTGAGTTATACTGTGCATAAAGAAATAGTGATGAACACTTATTTGAAGAGCAGGTCTTGTATTGCTCAGTAGTAACAAATTTTACTGAAGTTCTCAGTGGTATAAAATAACTACACTTAAGATATTCTAAACCAGTGGAGAGTCCTTTCTGAAATCTCCCTGATACACAAATATTTCTGTAAACCTTGGACTACTAACAAAGTTCTGGAGGATTGGAACAGTGGTAAACCATCACGTAACACTAGGAATGAAAAAGATAATACAGGATCACCACTGTTCTTAATCTCAATTAAGTTCTTTTAAACTAATTAAGCTCAACAGTAACTTTTCACATAGCTGTTGTGTTACTCATAGTATAGTATCTACACAGATCATCTAGCTTCTTTCCAAACTCATGTAACCAAAATAGCTAATGACAGTTTCTGGCTTTTTTATGATAACCTTTTGCAATTATCCCACCTACAGTTAGTAACGACTCATTTATTTCATGAACTAAAGGAGATGATCTGATTTTTGGAAGAGGTCATACACAGACAACACAACTCAAAACTGTGCAGCATTTTAAAATGCGTTAAATTTGGGTTTCTTGTTTTTGTGAAAGATAATCTGGTGTTCTTAGACATGTTTGTAGTAAAGTTAGGACTTCTCTTTAAAATCTGTGCCAAAGTATCAGTATTGAAAGTGGTAATTGGGAACATATAGATATCAATAAGCAGCCTCACAGAAAATTATGGAACAGCTGAATAGCATTTCAAACAGTGAGAAATAGGAATAAAACTTACACCAGTAAAAATACTTTCTGGTAAACGGGCCTTGCTTGTCAACACTTTGGCTTTGGTTTTAAGAGACAGAGAGCGGATTGTGCTTAGAAGTCATGGTCCCTCCTGTTTCTTCTGGCCACCTGCTCCCACCGTTTACCCTATCCCAACTCTGCCTCATTAGCGCCCTCAACGAGCTCGTATGACTTGTGAATATAGCAGGGAGATTGAAGAAAAAAAAATAAAAATCTTCCTCTGGGTTGCTGAGTTGTATTGGATGTTGGAAAAGTCTGTGAAGGTCGTGACAGCATGGTTGGGAGGTGCTGGGGACAAAGGAAGAGCAAAGCTTCAGGTGGTAGGAGACACTGAATTAGCTGAAGTGATGATGAAACTGTAACCCTAGACTTCTGGGAGGTGTTTTTTTCTTAATAAAAATGTTGCGCGATGTTCGATGACATAAGTTCCAGTGTTACGCTGGCTCCCTCTCACCTCATTGTATGTTCTTGGTAGGGCTGGTATTCCTGACAGGACTAACGTGCTTCTAGTATGTTCTGAGTTATGACACCTTTCTCATTTCTCAACTCAAATACCTGCTTTTCATTACATCTGGATTACAGAAAAGTAATCGCTTTTCACAATTATTGCTCTTAAGGGTTTTTTATAAGGTGTGTTGATAATGAGGTTCAATGTACATCTTAAGCCCCACCATACTTGAAAGTTGCTCAGTTTATGCTGAGCCTCTAATACACGTGGTTAGATCTATCTTATTCTTATGTGCAAGGTGGATTCTTACATTGTTACAGCCCACACATAGCACTTCTGTACCATGGACTAGATTCTTCCAAACTGAAGGAGCGCCAGCCACTGGGCTTCCCTTTACCTCACTCCTTCATCCTCCCTCTCTTGCTGCCACAATGCGTAGTCTACGTAAAGCTGTTGATGATAAAGCCAAACCCCAATAATTAACGGGTTGTTCCTTTCATTGCAGGGCGAAGACAGCACTCCAGCAGTATCTTGCATGATCAAAGACTAATTGAATCTATGGACACCCCTCATGTCTACTTAAGGAATAGCAGGAGATACTCCTGACTCCTTATATTTGCACAAGTCACCTTGGGCTGCATTTTTCTCAGGTGCAGGGAGCTGCTTTGCAGAAACAGTTTAAATGATCAGGTCTCCAGTGCACTTGAGAATTTTCTTGAGGTAGTTTCTTTACTCAGAGGACTCTTGGGGGGTTGTTTTGGCTTTTTGTTTGTTTTTTTGTGTTTGTTTTTTTTTTTTTCCTGAGCTACCTGGACTTTCGGATAGAACAATCAGTCATCATTTTCCTTTTGGGCCTACAATTTTCTGCTTTTGCTGCAGCCTGCGTGTGTGGATGTGTGCGGGTGTGCTCGAGTGTGTGCGCGTGCTCGGGTGAATGCGTGTGGGTGTGATACCTCAATTTTGTTTTTCCTTTTTTTGTGTGAAAATCTTTTTCTACAGGTTTTCAAGGGTTAACCATTGTTTGCTGTACGAATACTTCAATGAATTATATACAGTTTGAATGAAATGTTATTTAAAAAAAAAACCAAACTGTTGTATCCCATAAAGTTTATTTTGAATTTTGAACAGATGAATGTTTTTAAGTAAAATATATGCATTTCTGAACTTCAGCTTAACTTACATTATACTTCCTTTTTAAAGAGAAAAACAGAGGGAGACAGTAGACCCCAAATTATAAGCAGCGCGTTCTGTACTGACAAGGTCGAAGAGTTTTTTGGGTTTTTTTTACCGCCATACAAGGTCACCTGGTACTGATGACACGCTCAGATCCATGGAGTGGGTCGACTGGATTGTTTTGGATTTCTTTATGGTTTTAGAAGAAAAGCTCATACTTCAGAGTTAGCATGACTGTTGACTTTTTTGGAAAGGAAGAGGTGGCTGCAATATCAGCAGGCATAAGCTATTGCATTAGTAGCCAAGAACTTGCTCAGATAAGTGCTGAAGGATTAGCTTATTTCGCTGGTGATAAGTATTTGCTGATCACTGCTATCAATCGCGCAAACAGTACGTTGCAGAAGTTATAATTTCAAGAGACCAGAAGGAGCTGGCAAGCAGTGACTTAAGGGATTGCTTTTGTTTTGCATCCTTTACTTCCAGATATAGTTAAGTGACTTACAAATTATTTCCACGAAAGATCAGCTGGGTGCATTAAGTTGGGGAAGGGATGGAAAAACTGGGGGTTTGGGTTGGTTTTTTTTCTTAGCACGGTAATATTGCTACAGATTTTGTGTATATATACAGATATACACACTTGCATGGATTTGGATACCTGGATAATAAGCGATGGGATTTTCTTGTGTTCGGAAGCCTAGATTGTCCATAAGCTCCTGAAATTGTGCCTGTAAGTGTGGAGGAAAAGATACAAGTACAAATGAAGATGACTGTGTAAGGTTAGGCTGGAATGCGAGACCCCGGTGGCTTCACGGTCAAATATGCATAGAAACAAATGAGGGCAGCAAGGAGCTCTCCTTCATGCAGGTCAAGGCTCTTGCTTTCTTCCTGTGTCTATTTTCTGATTTCAGTTTAACCATAGTTTTAATAGTCAGAATCTCCAAACACTATATTTACATAGCACTAATGGGCACACTAAAGATTGCAGCCGATGTCTTAAACCAAATCTTTCTTCTGTTCTGAACTTCAGGAAGGCTGCAGCAAGAAGAGAGGTCTGTAACTTTGCTAACCAATTTTGATAAGTATCCTAATCTTTTATTTCTAATCAGAAGGTCAAATTGTGATAGCCTTACTTTTTTCCAAGGTAACTACTTGTGTCAGAAGATGCGACCGCAGTTTGGCCTGGAATTTGAATGTGCTATGTATCAGATAACTGTTATCACTTGGTTGCAAAGGAGAATATATACATTTCATGTAACTTCTTCCACTCTTGAAAGACAAATAAAAGTGAGCACCTGACACTTTTTCCCCAGGCATTGCAGTAAGTGACTGGCAGTTTTTTAATGTCCTTCTGCAAATTTTTCACGATGGACTTCGGGGGCTGAACAAAAGGGAAAGTAAAAATATGTGAGAACTTGATAAATATCAGTACCTCAGAAGCGAAGTCATATTTATAGAATTCAATCAAATATATTTTTGCTTGAACAGAGAAAAAAGTTCTGAGGCAGGTACTGTAAATGCAAAACTGTACAGCATCTGACTTCTAAATTTGCACTCCTGCTATGTACGTTTAGATCAAGTTCTTACATATCTCGTCTCGTTTGCCCCCCGATTCACGTTTCTAAAAGCAAATCTGAGTTTGATTCTATAAAACTTCGGTGCCTAAAGGTGTTCAGAAAAAAGGTGAGTAAGTATCTGTGTACATGTTTTGAGGTGGTTTCTTAAAATTCTACCAGAAAAACTAAAAACCAATGCTCAGACAATCTCGTCACTGCATGAGAACAGTTGACATTTTCCACAGATATTGATAGGACAAACTGTTGGATGAGAACATTTTTACATTCAGTTAAGCTTTGTGAATAATTTTTGATGTTGCTATAGGTATGTACAAAAAGAAGAATACTGTAAATAAAAAGAACTTTACCAGAACATCTAGATTTTTCTCAGCTTCATGGAGAAATCTCGGCTTTCTGTGCCAGCTTCCCTACAGACCGACAGTTGCCAGCCTGAGACTCGCAATGGGAACAAACTTGTTTGCTGGTCGCCTGGATCTTTACCAGCTTTATTTCGGGAGCAGCATCTTGTGAATGACAAGGTTGCTTGCAGAACCAAAGCAAGTCTAGAGTTTGGACATAATACAAATCACCAGCAGGACTTCTGCTGTTCTTGGGCCGTTTCTCTTCTGAAAAGCAGTCCTAATGAATTTTGATAAGTACGTCCACTCTTTGTATCTGGGTCCAGTGATGGTCCTTCTCTCAAAGGTTACATGTGTCAAAAAGCGCGTAGTTCTGCACGGGGTTTGGCATGCCGGTTCTCAGACAGGTGGTACACTTGGTTGCTCTCCACCGCCTCCAGTCCATGTTTGGAGTAGGAGTCTCTCCCACACAGGCGGTCAAATGAGACTTACAATTTGGCTGTTGTTCCAGTCACAGGTTTGCGTTGTAATAGTGAAAGGAACTAAGTGACCTGCTCAAAAGCATCTTGTGCCAGTATATTGTTAAGGCAAACATCTCAGATTTTTTTTTAAATTTATTTTTGCAGATGTTAGCTATTGGAGGAGATGCTGTACCTCCATGAGAGCGCTGAAACAGTGGCACAGCAGGCAAAAGAATGATTGAGGTGCATGAGATTAGATTGCTGAAGAAGAGAAAATGGGTTTAACAGGACTGTCTTTGGTAATCCTAGAATGTGATAGGTGTAAACATGTGAAACTTCAGTGGTGGTTAAAATCACCAGGACTTTACTGGAGGCTTATTTCTACAAAAAGAGACAGTTCCTGGGGGCACCCAGGGGTGCAGTTTGCTCTGCTGAGCAGGTGCTGGAGGCAGGGGAGCCCCTGCCAAGGCTCAGCCCTGCCACGTCCCCTGGAGGCGCTGGACACTGTCCCCTCAGGTCGCCAGGGGCACTAGGGCAGTCGATGTGCCAAAAGCTGAATCCTCGGCCAGGAGGGACCTTGACTAGCTGGAGGACCAGTCGGGCAGGCATCGTGTGCTGCATGACAAAAATCAGCAGCACCACCAAGGTCTGCACCCAGAGCCCAGTGACCCCAGGCGGGGGAATAGACGGGGTGAGCGGCAGCCCTGCCCAAATGGGCATCACCCGGGGAGGGTGCTGGGCACAGGCGCGCTGTGCTCACTGTACATGGGGGCGGGGGGGGGATCCCAAACCAACCAACCAGGAAAAATTGAGCTGCATTTGGAGTGGGGCCAGCAGCTTATCCCCTCTGCTTGGCGCTGCAGAGGTCATGTCTGGATCCCGCGCCTTGTTTTGGGGCCCCTGGTTTGGGGAGGGATGGGGGGGAAACTGGAGCCAGGGAGTGTGCGGTGGGCTGGAGGCGGGAATTGGGCAGGTTTGGCAGGCGAAGAGCAGGCAGAGGGGCTGCTGCTGCTCAGAGGGGAGGAAGGGAGGAGACAGAGCTCAGCTCGCTGTCTGCTGCTGACACCGAAGAAGGGAGCGGGGCCGGCTGGGCTGCCGCGG